CCCATTTTATGACCTTTCTTGCTACAGTTGTTAAGTGAATCATTGCAGTTGTTTAGTAACCTGGTTGTTAAGTGAATCAGGTTTAACCATTTATTTATTTATTTATTTATTTATTTATTTATTTATTTATTTATTTATTTATTGGTTCGATTTATATGCCGCCCTTCTCCGGAGACTCAGGGCGGCTTACAATGCGTTAAGCAATAGCCTTCATACTTTTGTATATACCTGCTTAGTAGGGCTTTCGGCCCTCCCTAAGCGGTGTTCTATTTTATACAAAGTCAGCTTATTGCCCCCACAATCCAGGTCCTCATTTTACCTACCTTGAAAGGATGGAAGGCTGAGTCAACCTTGAGCCTGGTGAGATTCGAACTTGCAGTAATTGCAGGCAGCTGGTATTACTTAACAGTACTTTAATCTGCTGCGCCACCAAGACTCTTTTGACTTTGCTTGTCAGAAGGTCACAAAAAGTGATCACCTAATCCTGGGACATTGCAACAATCATAAATGTGAGACAGTTTCCAACAGTCTGAGTTTTGATGATGTGACCATGGGGATGCTGCCACGGACATCAGTGTAAAAAGTGATCATAAATCACTTTTTCAGTGATGCTGTAACGTTGAACCGTCACTAAATGTTCTACAGGACTACCTGTACAAGGGGAGAAAGTATCTCACCTTCACACTGAAATAAAAACCTTTTTCTGGAGACCTTGGTGCTCTCTGAGCTTGGTTAAGCTACAATAATAGAATAAGAAGAATAACAGAGTTGGAAGGGACCTTGTAGGTCATCTAGTCCAACCCCCCACCCAAGCAGGAGACCCTACACCATTTCTGACAAATGGCAGTCCAATCTCTTTTTGAAAGCCTCCAGTGATGAAGCTGCCACAACTTCTGAAGGCAACTTCTGTTCCATTGGTTGATTGTTTTCCCTGTCAGAAAATTTCTCCCTATTTCCAGGTTGAATCTCTCCTTGTTCAGTTTCCATCCATTATTCCTTGTCTGGCCTTCAGGTGCTTTGGAAAATAGCTTGACCCCCTCCTCTCTGTGGCAGCCCCTCAGATATTGGAACACTGCTATCACGTCACCTCTAGTCCTTCTCTTCACTAGACTAGACATATCCAATTCCAGCAATTGTTCTTTATATGTGTTAGCCTCCAGCCCTCTAATCAACTTTGTTGCTCTTCTCTGCACTCTTTCTAGAGTCTCAACATTTTTTTATAGTGTGGTGACCAAAACTGGATGCAGTATTCTAGGTATGGTCTTACTAAGGCTTTATGGAGTAGTATTAGTACCTCACGTGATCTTGATTGAATCCCTCTGTTAATGCAATTTAGGATTGCATTGGCTTTTTTGGCTGCCGCTGCACACTATTGGCTCATATTTAAACTACTCTCTCTATATATATATATGTATATCAGTGGTAGGTTCCTCCCGGTTCGGCCCGGTTCTGCGGAGCGGGTAGCGGTGACGATATGATGTCACTGAACCGGTTCTCTTTGTTCGGGAGCTGGGCTGTTCCGCCCCCCCGCCCCGTGTTATTCTTACTTTTTATTTGGCCCCACCCCCAATCTATTGCTGCCTCCTGAGTCCCAGCTGATCGGCTATAAGGAAAAAAACTGTTTAAACTCTTGCCACGGGTCTTCAAAGGGCCGCCCTACAGCTGATCAGTGGTAAAAGGCAGTTTGGTGGTAGACCGGTGCCTCCAACAACAAATGAGTAGACCGGTGCCTCCAAAAACAAATGAGTAGACCGGTACAGCTCTGCAAGCAGTTAAAAGCCTGGTAGACCAGTACCTCTGCTAAATCCTAAAGAATTGTCACATGACCATCAAGCCACGCCCACAAAATAAACCACGCCCACAGAACCAGTAGTAAAAAAATTTAGAACCCACCCCTGATGTATATGTACACTATATGTAATGTGTGTGTGTGTGTGTATATATATATGTGTGTGTGTGTGTGTGTGTGTGTGTGTGTGTGTGTATATATGTCCCTCCCACTAATGTATGAGGGGTGATTGAAGGTCTGCAAGCAAACCACGAAGCTCAGAGAGCACCAAGGCCTCCACAATTGAACCCTGAGTTTCAGATATTCTCTTCTATTTGTTTTCTTGCCCTCCCAGAGCCGATTTAAGTTGTTTCTTATCAGTGTTATTACAGTTTTTATCTGTTAGGTGATAACCTCTGCCACAAACCTCTTAAAGTTAAAGGAATGCGAAGGCTGCCTCAGGGATCGAGGGCTGACACGTCTTAAAAACGCTGACCTCAGGGGAAATTCTTGTTCAGAAACCAGTACTTCCTTCCAGATCCTCCCGGAGGGAATTCCCCTCCTGTCAAAGAATAGGAACAGAAACAAGGCTTCTAGGGTTGACAGATTGGTGAGGTCTTCTCATGCGCTGCAGTTCAACTTCTATCATCCCCAGCTTTTTAGACATCACTGGGACTCTTGTGCATATAACCTTGGCCATCACTTTGAAAAGAGAGCCACACAGAACTGGAAACACTGCAGAAAAGGGCTCTGAATCTATCTGAAGTCGGAGCATTGAAGAGGGACTACGGTGGTTTAGGCTTTTCAGCTTAGAACAGTGTTTCTCCACCTTGGGAAGAGTTGTGGACTTCAACTCCCAGAATTCTCCAGCCAGCATAGGAGTTGAAGTCCACTCATCTGAAAGTTCCTAAGGCTGAAAAACACTGACTTAGATAGATAGAATTCTTTATTGGCCAAGTGTGATTGGACACACAAGGAATTTATCTTTGGTTCATATGCTCTCAGTGTACATAAAGAAAAAATAAAATATATTCGTTGAGAATCATAAGATACAACACTTAGTGATAGTCATAGGATACTAATAAGCAATCAAATCATACTAGTGTAGGAAAATATATCCTTCTGGGTTCAGCTCCAAGTGGGGAAAAAGACACTGGAAACATGGAGACTACTTGGAAAGATGGTTTAATGGTGGACAGGAACACATGGCTTAAGTTCCTGAACAGAAAAGGGCGAAATACAGCGAGTCCCTGGGTTTTATGCTCTCTCTGGCTTTGAACTTCCTGGGGCCCAGAAAGAGTATCCTGATTGGTTGTCAGACTCCCAGGGGGTGGGGGTCTTAGCTAGCCTTGCTGGTTGATGTAATCTTCCCAGGTGCCATGTGGTGAGTTTCTGTTGCTAGATGGGCCCCATTGTGTTGCAGATGTCCTTTGACAAAGGATTGGGTTTCTGTCTCTGTCCCATTAACAAAGGGTGGGGGGCAGGAAGGTGGGAGCTGCTTTGCCTTTAAAACATGCTTCTTCATTTCTCATCCAGGGAAACACAATATTCTGCCTTTTTAATATTTCCCAAAATATTTCATTCTTCTAGGAAAGGGGTGGGTGCTAACTTCCTACACTAGGAAACAATAAAAACAATATAAGTTGTAAAGATACAAGCAACATGGTTATAGTCATAAGTGGGAAGAGACAGGTACTAGTAAGAATGAGAATAATAATAATAATAATAATAATAATAATAATAATAATAATAATACAGTCTTAGTAGTTAATTTGACAGTGTTGTGGGAATTAGTTTTTAGCAGAGTGATGGCATTTGGGAAAAAATTGTCTTGTGTCTTGTTCTGGTGTGAATGAATGGCTGGACTATGACAGAAGTGCAGGAAATCTTATTTTAGGAGACCAAATGGGGAAGAGCGGTCTGTTTAAATCCGGTAAATGAAAAAACATTTACATCCCCGATTTACAGATTGAACTGGGCTGGCTTGAGCTAAATTTTAAATTGATTTTAAATTGGGTTGTTTTAATTTACGGCCAAAATATTTCATTATTTTAATACTGTTTTTTAAATTTTGTATGCTCTGTTTTTACTTAGGCTGTGCACCGCCTTGAGTCCTATTTGGAGAAGGGCGGTATAGAAATTTAATTAATAAATAAATAATAAATAATAAACAGAGTTGGAAGGGAATTTGAAGGTCATTTAGTCCATCTCCCCGCCCCACCCAAGCAGGAGATCCTATACCATTTCTGACAGATGGCAGCCCAGTCTTTTCTTGAAAGCTTCCAGTAATGAAGTTCCCACAACTTCTGAAGGCACAACTGACTTCAACTGAGTTCAAAATGCCTGTTGCTAAGTGAGACAGTTGTTAAGTGAGTTTTGCCTCATTTTATGGCTTTTCTTGCTGCAGCTGTTATGTGAATCACTGCAGTTGTTAAGTTATTAACACGGTTGTTAAGCGAATCTGGCTTCCCCATTGACTTTTTTACTACCGGTTCTGTGGGCGTGGCTTATTTTGTGGGTGTGGTTTGATGGTCATGTGACAATTCTTTAGGATTTAGAAGAGATACTAGTCTACCAGGCTTTTAACTACTTGCAGAGCTGTACCGGTCTACCCATTTATTTTTGCAGGCACCGGTCTACTCATGTATTTTTGCAGGCACCGGTCTATCGTGTATTTTTGCAGGCACTGGTCTACCCATTTATTTTTGCAGGCACTGGTCTATTCATTTGTTTTTGGAGGCACCGGTCTACCACCAAACTGCCTTTTATCACTGATCAGCTGTAGGGCGGCCCTTTGAAGCCCCGCGGCAAGAGTTTAAACAGTTTTTTTCCTTCTAGCCCATCAGCTGGGACTCAGGAGGCAGCAATAGATTGGGAGTGGGGCCAAATAAAAGGTAAGAATAATGTGGGGGGTGAGGGCTGGGGGGGGCGGGTACAGGGGGGGGCAGAACTGGTTCGGTGATGTCATATCATCACCGCTATGGGCTCGGCGGAACCAGGCCGAACCGGGAGGAACCCACCACTGATGTGACCAAAGGGATGCTGCAGTGGTCATAAGTGTGAAAAACAGTCAGAAGTCACTTTTTCCAGTGCCTCTGGAACTTCGAACAGTCACTAAATGAATAATTGTAAGTCAAGGACTACATGTACGTCAAGAGTTCTAAGTATTGAAGTCTATGAATTCGAAAGTTTCCAAGGTTGAGAATTACTGCTCTGGTGAGAACGCAACAGTACTCAGAACTCAATGAGGGACTTCTAGATGCTGCTACTCACTGCACTACAACCCTTCCAAAGTTCAAACGAATACATTTTGAATACAAATAAACAAATGTTCTTAATTTTAACCAATCTCTGTTGTTGTATTTTGCCTCCTAGCTCAGAATCCATCGCCACTTCTCATGGCTCCTTTGCAAAATGAGAGTTGTAACGAGTCCACCATGGAACAGTTGGAGGCAGCAATGCAACAACTTGTGCTCCTTGCTGAGCTTCTACTCCTTCTACGGCCAGATGAAGATACCTGTGTTAAAATCCGTAACTGTGTTGACACGGCCCTTAGCTATTTTTCAGAGGCTGAAGAGAAAGTAGCATCTCAATTGCTGCTGGTTGATTCTCAATCTGAGGCCCTGATAACAGTGAAGAAACTCATGCAAGATGATCTGAAGGAGAAGCAGAAGAAGTTGGTGGATTTGAAAGCTCAGATCTTTGCTCTTCAAGAAGCAGAGAAGAAATCAGTGGAAATGTTGCAAACTGCTGAGCTGCACCTGAAAAACACAAAGGAGAGGCTCAAATTAGCCCATGAGGAAATGGAGAAAAACCGTGCAGGACGAGATATTGGTATGCACTTGATGATCCTTCCAGGACTTGGGACATTCATAGGTAGGTCAGTTAATCCCCAAACCAATAGATTTTGAATCGGAAGGGATTCCTTCAAGATGTACCTCTTTCTCTGTAGAGATTTATGGCACATCTGTTATCCCTCAAGTAAAATTGAGGTAATTTAAAGCCTGTCTTCATTACTGTTAGTTGAAGGCAACATTAGTTAGATGATAAAAAATATTGTAAATCATTCATTACTATATCCCATCAATTAAATGTTGATTGACTGGCAGCCTGTGCCCCGGAGATCATAGTTTCTGGAATTTTATTAAGACCTGGTTTTGTTCCCAAGCCTGGGGTTAGAGTGTTACAGAGTCCCTGATTAATTTTCATGTATCAGGGAGTGTTGTTTTACTCTGGGCAATGATGTGTTGTTTTAGAATGTTTTTTTAATCTATGTACTGGACTTAAACAACACCCAGTCTTCTTGGAGTTGGGCAACCTTAACAAATCCAATACAAAAATTTGCACAGATGATTAAAGATTGATATAAAAAATAATAATATATAATACATATATATATTATATAATAACAGGCTTTGGTATAGTGGTGAAGGTGCTGGCCTAGAAACCAGGAGACTGTGAGTTCTAGTCCCACTTTAGGTGTGAAAGTCAGCTGAGTATTTCTAAGTCAGTTACTCCCTCTCAGGATTGTTGTTGTGGGGAAAATAGAAGGAAGAAGATGTATTGTGTATGTTTGGTTATTTATAAAGTAATACAATAAAGGTTGGATAAAAGCCTAATAATTATGTTATATATAGATGATCCAATTAGAGCAGATGGGGGGAAATCAGTGGTGGGTTTCAAATTTTTTTACTACCGGTTCTGTGGGTGTGGCTTGGTGGGCGTGGTATGGCTTGGTAGGCGTGGCTTGGTGGGTGTGGAAGGGAAAGGGTACTGTAAAATCTCCATTCCTACCCCACTCCAGGGGAAGGTTACTACAAAATCCCCATTTCCGCCCAATCAGCTGGGACTTGGGAGGCAGAGAATAGATGGGGGTGGGGCCAGTCAGAATTTTTACTACGGTTCTCTGAACTACTGAAAATTTCTGAGTGAAACTTTGATTCAGATTATTTGATTCAGAATACAATTATTTATTTGATTCGGAATACAATTATTTCAGCAAATTCAAAACAATTTTTTAAAAAAACCCTTTTAATTCCTCTAGTAGCATGGCCACCTATATAGACTTGGACACAACACAATCGCTAAAGCACACTATAAAACAGAGTCCCTAACAATCAATTGATTATTAATGTGATCATTGGTGATTTATTCTAACCAGTTTTAGTACTGACACCATGCCTGCAGTCCTTTCAGACAAAACTCCCTCTAAACTTTAGTTCAGTAGCTGAATTTGGAGGGATATTTTTATTGTTGTTCTTGCTGTTGGAAAACAATTGGGAGTTAATAGCTATATCACTAATTTATCTTTGCTTCTAGGTGCTAGTGTGTTAATTGGTTATCAAATAGCCCTGGAGTCAGCTGAAAATCTAGTCGCAGAAGCTCAACGAGCAGTAGAAGAATATACAGCAGAAGTGGCTGGTTACCACGATAAGTTCATACACTTCTCCCAAAAGGAACAGGAATTACAAGATGGGATAAATGCCATGAATCAGAAGATCATCCAGACACAAGTTCAATCCGATGAGCTGCTTGCTTTCCAAGGGGATGTTCTAATAAAGCAATCCTGGATCAGAAAATGCCTTGCGCTGCTGGACGTACTGGCAGGCAAGGTTCATGTAGCCGCAGTCATATCTCGCCATGCTTGTTTCCCTGAGCTGCTGGTGGACATCTTAGGGGACATTGCACAAGTGATGGATGAGAAGGGTGGGGAAGCGTTCCTTGAAAATCAGAAAATCCAGGATTTAGTTCTGGAAATAAAGAAAGCAGTGAAGACTCTGAAAAGCAGAGTAGGAAAGAGCATGTTGCAAGATTATTAATGTTTCCATGGCCTCCTCCATGTTTCATTAACATGTCTGTGTACTGGTAGTCCTCGATTTATGATCAGTTGCTTAACAGCCAAAGTCATGACCAATCCCCCCAACAGCTAGTTACGACCCAGATTCGAAGTTCTGATGGCTGCCCCTCCCCTCAGTCAAATGATTCCATTTTAAGCGCTCAGCAGTCCACCCACATTTATGGCCATTTGCAACATCCTGCGATCACATGAACATGTTTTATAGCAATTTTACCAGAAACCGGCATTTACTTCTGATTTTCAGCAAAATTGGCCCATAGTAAACCACTGGGCAGGTTCCATTATAGCAATAGCAGTAGCACTTAGACTTATATACCGCCTCACAGTGATTTACAGTCCTCTCTAAGCAGTTTACAGAGTCAGCATATTGCCCCCAACAATCTGGGTCCACATTTTATCAAACCTGGAAGGATGGAAGGCTGAGTCAACCTTGAGTCCCGTCAGGATCAAACTGCTGTCAGTCGGCAGAATTAACCTTCAATACTGCATTCTAACTGTGCCACCACGGCTCTGATTGGACATAACTCAAGGACTGTGTTCATTCTATTTACCAGTTCCTTATAGGGTGCCAACATGGAATTAAACACTGAAATGACGTACTAATTTTGTATGCATTCTGCTGGTGCAGCTTTTCCCACCTTTTTGCTTTCTTGCCATGTTGAAATACAACTTCCAGATAGGTTATCCAGGTCCTATTGCAGTTCAGAATGTATTTTTCTAGCAGATGCTTCTAAGATGAGAGTTTTATTATACAAGTGTCCTGCCTCTTTGTCAAGAAGGTAGATGCTGCAGTCCTCAATTTGGAAAGCTCTTGTGTTTTCTAGCCACTTATGCCTTTTTTTCTTCCAAGAAAAGACTTCTTTTCAGGCAAGAAACGTAGAATGAGTGCAGAGTGTTTTTGTAGTCATAACCCAAAGAGCCATCCATGTTCTAATTCACTTTCCCCAGCCTTCTCCTTTCTGAATGAGCACTTTTAGAAACGCAAGTCCAACACTTCTGGACTTCCAGATGGGGAAGCCCATTCTAATAAAAAATATTATAGTGTGTACTTTTGATAACCCAAATGTGACTGAATGCTTGCGTTTACTTGTTTATTTGCATTCCTCTGGACACTGAAAAGCGGTCTTCGTGTATTTGTTGAAGCCTGTTTGTACAACAATAAATGTATTGGTTTTGAAGATGTCAAAGCTACTTGATGGAAATACTGAGGCTTTGAAAAATAACAGATTTTCAGTGACAAGTTCTCTCTTGCTTCATGAACATATATATCCCTCTGCCACGCCTGTAACCTATCGACCCAAGTATCTTTACATGCAACTTTAACATTCCTTCAAGAGAGGAACAGTCCCACATTTGGAAAAATTATGATATAAGTAGTAATTTGATACATGACTAAAGTGCTATTCCAGGTTCCTTTCACTAAGTCCCAACACCCATAAAAGATTATTTCCCCCCCTCAGCAGACAAAACAGTACCTGCTAGAAAGGAAGAGAAAAAGAGGTTCTCCATCAATAGCTTTAACTTGGTGTCTTTCAAACTTGGCAACTTTAAAATGTGTAGCCCTCAGCTCGAAGAATTCTCTGGCCTTAAAGCTGCCAAGTTTGAAAAACATTATTTGTCCTTCTCTGAATGAATAGCAACACTAGCACTTCCAGGAAAGGTGACTGCAGTGGGGCATGGTTTGGAAATAAAGATAATTCAGGTTGTTCATTCAGTTTATTACATAAAGTGCTTGATCGTCCATGCAATACTAGATGACACAAATCATTTAAGAAAGAAAAAATATATTAAATTTGGCTGGCATACTTTTCTTCTAGCTGAAGGACAGGAGGAAGGTATATAGAATAGAATAGAATTCTTTATTGGCCAAGTGTGATTGGACACACAAGGAATTTGTCTTTGGTGCATATGCTCTCAGTGTACATAAAGACAAGATACATTCATCAAGAATCACAAGTTACAACACTTAATGGTAGTCATAGGGTACAAATAAGCAATCAAATACTAGGAACAATCAATATAAATAGTAAGGATACAAACAAAGTTACAGTCATGCAGTCGTAAGTGGGAGGAGATGGGTGATAGGAACGATGAGAAGATTAATAGTAGTGCAGACTTAGTAACTAGTTTGACAGTGTTGAGGGAATTATTTGTTTAGCAGAGTGATGGCGTTCAGGAAAAAACTGTTCTTGTGTCTAGTTGTTCAGGTGTGCAGTGCTCTTTGGCATTGTTTTGAGGGTAGGAGTTGAAACAATTTATGTCCAGGGCGAGGGGTCTGTAAATTTTTTCACAGCCCTCTTTTTGACTCGTGCAGTATACAGGTCCTCAATGGAAGGCAGGTTGGTAGTAATTGTTTTTTCTGCAGTTCTTCATATTACAGACACCTGGCTGTATTTAAAGTGAAAAAAGAGGCATTCTAGATTATATGAGTTGTTTGACCTCCCCAAATGCCAAAGATGATCTTAGTTACAACAATTATAATGAATCCGTTTTATCAAACTTTACATTGCTTTCATCAAATGATACTGAACAAAACTGAACAAATGTTAAATGCCATAATGGATGAATAACTCAGATTCTTAGCCACAGAACTGTAATATTGCGTCACGTGCTGTTTCTTGCAATGCAACAATATGCCCGCTGGACCAATGCATGCCAGGTGATAGGAGGCAAAATTACAACACAAGGTCAAAGAAGAATTACAAAGAAGGTCAAAGAGCCTTGGTAGTACAGTGGTCTAAGGCACCCTGTTATTAAGCTGGTTATTAAGACCAGATGCCTGCAATTACTGCAGGTTCGAATCTCGCCAAGGCTCAAGGTTGACTCAGCCTTCCATCCTTTCTAAGGTAGGTAAATTGAGGACCCAGTTTGTGGGGGCAATAAGCTGACTTTGTATAAATATACAAAAGAATGAAGGCTATTGCTTAGCGCATTGTAAGCCGCCCTGAGTCTCTGGAGAAGGGCCGCATATAAATCAAATTAAAAAAAAAAAGTGATAAAATGCATTTCAGGAATGATATTTTCTCCCTTGGCAAAACTCTTCCACCTACAGCTGAGCTTCTTCCTAACTTAGATTGCAAATAGATTACAGCCAGACAAACTATATTTGGAATCCTCGCATTCCCGGATTAATTTCTGTTTAGTTAAAAAAAAAAGAAAGAGCATTGTTTCTCAAGCTTGGCAACTTTAAGACTTATGGACTTCAACTCCCAGAATTCCCCACATTGCCAGCTGCCTCAGGGTTTTTGGGAGTTGAAGTCCACACGAATTAAAGTGGCCAAGGATGAGAAATACTGGTTTAACAGAAGAAGCCCCACTTTCTTTTCTCTTAATTCACCGTTTTGGATCAGAATCATGGAAGCGGTCGGTGGTTTAAATATAAGGTTCTCTTATTGGACGGAATCTGCTCGCTTTACTTTTACAGAAGTCTATCTTAGCGCCCTCATCACTTATATTGCTCTTCTCCGTTTTCATTGGCTTAGCGCTCGTGGATGGGCGGAGCTAGTGCTTCCTCTCTTGGCAACCGAAGCTTTTTTTTCCCCCTCCTACATTCCAATCCGGCCCGCGGCGCTACGCGCATGAGCAGTTTGAGATTCTCGTCTGTTGGCCGAACGTTAGGGACCGTTGGCAAAGATTCGAAAGGGGCGGGGACGGGGGGGAGGCATATTGGAACGAGGAACTAATTAACCAATGAAAAGGCGGGAGGATCTGGGGAACCGGGGTTCCAGCACCTCACAGCCAATCAGAAAACTCGCGGATGCTGGGCGAGTTGAAACGTGAGAGAGGTGTGTTAGGGAAACTGCTTTGAAGGGCGGGCGTTGCCTTGAATCGCCAGCTTTTGTTTCTTATTTTGGGTTGGCTGTATCTAGAGCTGGGGGACAAAAATTGGAATTGAACCAAAGGAGGCTTCATGCGCAGGTAGCTATGAAATGTACAGCAACCTAGCCAGGAGAAGTTCTCATTACAACTTAATGTGGGGCATTGGGATTGTCTGAATCGCCAATACTGGTTAAGGGAATCTTCATCACTGGAGGTTTTTAAGAAGAGACTGGACAGATAACTTGTCTGAAATGGTATATAGGGTCTCCTGCTTGAGCAGGGGGCTGGACTAGAAGACCTCCAAGGTCCCTTCCAGCTCGATTGATTGATTAATCCTTGATTTTAGGGTACGTTTTATGCTGGATTTGCCAACCAGGAAACTAGATCAGAAGTATATAAATTTCTCTTGAACCCAAAGCACTCACTGCATGAAATGAGGTGAATGATGTTTCATCAGATTGTTTTAAAACATCTGACACTCATAAGATTCAGAAAGTTTAAAAAGCCAATAAATGAAGGGGGGGGAAAAAAAAGAAGTCGTGGAATTGCCCATATAGGAACTATAACGGAGAATCGTGTGGCTAAAACCATCTTCCCCAATGTGGAGACTGCAGCTTCCAGTCATGCGGAGTCCCAGGTTGGTTGCATAGCCTAAAGGTGTGATGGCAGTGGTGGGCTGCCCCCAGTTCGCACTGGTTCTATAGAACCGGTAGTAAAACTGGCGGGAGGCCCCACCCACTGAAGCTGACACCATGAAAACGCTTCTGCGCATGCGCAGAAGAGCATACATGCTTGCTTCGCTCACACGGCCCCGTTGCAAACTGGTAGTAAAGGTAAGTAGAACCCACCCCTGCGTGATGGTGAACCTATGGCATGTGTGCCAGAGCTGGCATGCAGAGCCCTCTCTGTGGGCAAGCACGCCATCCAGAGGTGGGATTCATTTACCTTCCCTACCTGTTCGCAAATGTGAGCGTGCACCCTTTAAGAGACACTGCTTTATGTAATCCTTCTCAGATAGTGGAATTATCTGGAAAGATACTCCTGAGTGCCATCAACTCATCAGATTTTGACTTGTGATCAGTCTTCTGTCATTGGACAGCCATTTGGTGTAGGGTCTCCTCGAGCAGCGGGTTTGACTAGAAGACCTCCAAGGTCCCCTCCAATTCTGTTATTCTCAGTCATTGCCTTTAGGGTTATAGGGCATTTTCCCTTAATCAGGGGTCTGGCTTCTTTAGAGTCCTGCAAAAAAGGCCTTCAATTGTAATAGATTTAATTAATTTTCACATGAGTGTTCTGTTCGTTTGATAGTGACATTTTGTTTTAATAATGTGTTTAAATTGTCATGAGTAGAATTGAAATTATTATTCAAAGTATTTGTATATTTTGAAGGACCTTGAAGTGAGACCATGGACAAGAAGAAAGATTCAGGCAAGCATCTGGACCCCCCTGCTGTGTTCCAGACTACAAGGCCAACTGGTAAAGAATCAGCAAATTCCTTCTTAGAGATAACCTAGCCATAAAGTTATCGCTACGGTTGCAACTTCTAAGCTAGCCTATTTAATGCATTGTGTGTGTTCTGTAGAAATGTACCTGAAATCCACTAAGAACAAAGTAAATCATCTGGATTATTTCCTGAGACTAACCACAAAAAGCATAACTTGCACTTCTGGTTGCAGTTCAAAATGTTGCCTATAAAGCCTTTTACAGAACCAGTTTGATATAATTGTTGAGGCACTTGGCTAGAAAATAGGAGACTGGGAATTCTAGTCTTCCTTTAGGCACAAAGCCAGCCAAGTAATCCTGAGCCAGTCACTGCCTCTCAGCCCCAGGAAGCAGGCAATAGCAAACTACTATTGAAATCTTGCTAAGAAAACTGCAGGACGTGTCCAGGTAGTCACCAGAAGTCAATATTGACTTGAAGATGTATGTGTATGGGTGTATACACAGACACACACACCATACCCTTTCAGAAAACAGTCCTGTATCTCACTGTGGTGCTCTCTGACCTCTGAGGATTTCTGATAAAGGTGTGAGAAATTGATCAGGTGGCCAGAAGAGCAAAGAAATATTTGTGTTTTCCATTTCTTTCCTGATCTTTTTTCACCAAATAATTTTCTTTCCTTAGTTTGCAAAGGTAGCATAGGCATACTTAAATTAGCACAACAGCTGTCTGGGTAAAACTTAAGATCCCCGTTCTGTGTTTTCATTAACAACTAATGGTTTTCTATCTGGTGAGAGTCTGGCTTAGCATTATAGATCCAAATAGAAAATCATGAGGTTAGGTGTTTTCTGTGTTTTTCCCCCCTTAGGATTTAAAGAATTGATTCCACCTTCACATTTCCAGAGCCAATCAGCACCACCTCCAACAGTGTCTACTACTGGGCTCTTGGGGGCCACAGCTTACCCTAACTGGGAGGAAGCTGCTGAACTCCGACGAGAGAATTTGCGTTTGAAAGACGAACTTCAAAAATGGAATACAAAAGTAGATACGACAGAAGACCCAAAAGATAAGACCAGGTGAACATTTCTGTATCTTATTCATTTTCTCTGAACTTTTTAAAATTCTGTGTGAGCTGGGAGAGGAAACTATTAGAAGAACATGCTTTGAACTGTTTCTTAGCTAAGCGATTGAAAGCGGCACCTTTTAGATTCATTTTTCTCTAGTTTTGTTTTCTTTGGACACGGTACAGGTAGTCCTCCACTTATCACAATAGGGCCCAAAATTTCTGTTGCTAGGACAGCTGTTAAGTGGGGCTTGCCCCATTTTATGACCTTTCTTGTCACAGTTGTTAAGTGAATCATGGCAGTTACCATATTTTTCGGAGTATAAGACGCACTGGAGTATAAGACACACCGGAGTATAAGACGCACCTTAGTTTTTGGGGAGGAAAAAAAAAAAAGCTGATTGGCAGGTGGATCGGCCTCCCGGAATACCCCCAATCAGCTATTCCCAGAGGTGACTTTTAGCAACAGGTTCCTTGGTTGTGAGCTCTGTGCCTTGCTTTTTTTTGCTTTTTTTTCTGCCTCTGAAACTTCTGAAACACTGTTTCAGAAAAAACTTTCTTTTCTTGCCTCTGAAGCTCTTTTTGAGGGCTTCTTTTCTGAAGCTCTGTTTTGGGGGCTTTTTTTATGAAGCTTCCTTTCTGATGCTTTTTTCAGCCTCTGAAAGCTCCATTTGAGAAGCTGGGCGGGGCTACATTCGGAGTATAAGACGCACCCAGATTTTCACCCTCTGTTTTGGGGGAAAAAGGTGTGTGTCATACTCCAAAAAATACGGTAAATTAGTAACATGGTTGATAAGTGAATCTGGCTTCCCCATTGACTGCTTGTCAGAACGACACAAAAGGTGATCACATGACCCCAGGTCACTGCAACCGTCATAAAATACAGGCCAGTTGCCAAACGTCTGAATTTTAATCACGTGACCAAGGGGATGCTGCAACAGGTGTAAGTCTGAAAAAAACGGTTGTAAGTCACCTTTTTCAGGGCCATTGTAACTTTGAACGGTCACTGAACGAATGGTTATAAGTTGAGGACTACCTGTATAGCAGATCAACCTACTTATGGTCTCCTTGACTCGTGGCTTTTAGCAAGGAAATATTATGCATTCCGTTGTTTCTGTTATTAAGTGAGCAGCTCCTAGAATTGTCCTTCCTAATGTAGAGATGCCCTTCAGATTGTATGGACAGGATTTACAGCAATAGCTATGCGGGCTGGGCAATTCTGTGAAGTGAAGCTCACAAATCTGGAAGGTTGCAATCAGGATGCACGCCTAGAGCAGGCGTGTCAAACTCAAGGCCTGTTTGGGCCGGATCCAGGCCTTAGATCTGGCCCGCAGGGCTGCCCTGGAAACAGCAAAGGACTGGCCCACAGGCCTTGAGAAGAGAAGGAAGGAAGGAACGTAATACTGAGAGGGAAGGAGGAAAGTCCTGCCTTAGCAGTTGGCCACCACAGGTGCCCCCGACATGAGTGACATCGAGCTGGCCATGCTGCCTCCCAGCCATGCCCTCCCCCCCCCCCCAGCCCCAACACAACTCTGTTGCGGCCCTCAATGAAATCAAGTTTGACACTCCTGGCCTAGAGCATTCTCTCTTGAGATAGGAGAATGTGCTGACATCTTCCTCTCTTCTATCCACGGTCCTTGGATAGGTTGGCTGAGCCTTCAAATGTCACCCTGGCAATGTCTCAACAGGCTGAAATCATCTCCCATCAGCTCCACGAGATCCAGCGGTTGGAGTCAGAGGTTAGCGCCCTCCGAGTTTCCTCTGCCCAACAGGAGGCAACCATAGCTGCTCGGGAAAGTACCCTGTCCAATCTCCAAGGAGAACTAACCTTCCTCAAAAGCCAGAATCTTACTGAAGTTGCTATCCTGAAGACCCAACTGGAAGAAGTCAGGAAAAGTAGTCAGCAAGAGAAAGAGGCCCTAAGGAATGAATTGGAAGAGCTCAGGAAGCAAAGTCAGTTGAAAGCAGATTTCCTGAGGGAGGAACTGGAGTCAACCAAGGAAAGGAGCAATCATGAAATTGCCCTGGCACAGGGAGAGCTGCAGCAGATGAAGGAAGAGCGAGAGGTGGAGTGGAGGAGGCAAGAGACCATGGTTCAAGAATGCCGACAGTCAGTCCTGAAAGAGTACCAAGCAAAGGTAACTGTAGAATGAAAAATAGCAATGGCATTTAGACTTATATATCGCTTCATAGTGCTTCACAGCTCTCTCTAAGCAGTTTATAGAGTCAGTATATTGCTCCCAACAATCTGGGTCCTCATTTTACCCATCTCGGAAGGAAGGAAGGCTGAGTCTACCTTGAGTCCTTTCAGGATCGAACTGCTGGCAGTGGGCAGAATCAGCCTGCAATACTTCATTTTAACCACAGCTCAGGACGATTTTTTTTTTTTTTTTTTTTAGAAAAGGCATAGAATAAAATAAGTTGCAAAGCTCTCTGGAAAAGAAAGCATTGGAGGGTAGTTACAGGTAGTCCTCGACTTACAACAGTTCATTTGTGACTGTGGAAAGTTACAGCGGCACTGAAAAAAAGAGTGACTTAAGATCGTTTTTCCATACTTAACAACTTTTTCAGGTCTCATGATAAAAATTCAGACGGTTGGCAACTGAGTCATATTTATGACAGTTGGAGTGTCCCGGGATCATGTGATCACCTTTTGCAACTTTCTGCCAAGCAAAGACCTTGAGGAAGTCAGTTCCACTTAACGTCCGTGTTACTAACTTAGCAACTGCAGTGATTCACTTAACCACTGTGGCAAGACAGGTCGCAAAATGGGACAAAAGTCACTTCATGACTGTCGCTTAGCAACAGAAATTTTGGGCTCCATTGTGGCTGTAAGTCGAGGACTACCTGTAATTTCAAACAGAGTAATAGAGGTGAGCCTATGTACCAAGTCTCCAGCTTCTCTTTTTCCTCCCACAGCTGAATGAGCTGTCTGAAGTCTACGAAGCTGAAGCGACTTCCTTGAAGCATCAGATATGCGCATTCCAGCAGGATTTGGAAGCTCAGCGTAAGGAAGCCAGTCAGTTAAGGGAGAAAAAAGATATACTCCAGAACCAACTCAGGTTGGTTAATTTTTCTTCACTCTCCCTCTTCACACCTCCCCCTTCCCTGGTACAGAGATTTTATTCAAGGTAGTCCCTGGTTTCTTTCTTCCAGTGTGACTGAGGCAGAACTGGCTACCCAGAATGCTTTGGTGCTGCAGTTTAAGACCTACGTGGGGGAGCAGAAGTCAAGTAAACCTGGTTTTGAACAGGAGCGGCTGATAAATCGAATACAGGTGAGGCTATAAGTGTTAGGCCTGGAAGCCATCTTTTGCATTGAATCTTCAGGCCTGCCACATTTACTACTGTGGGAAACTGGGAGGGGGGATTGTATGGAGCCAGGGTGATATATAGTCATAATAACATTCCTTTCTCAGAGAGTCAAGGACATCTTGCCCTGCACCTGGAGGATTGGAACTGGGAGGCATCTCCAGTTGGGACAGTGCTTTGATTGGACCATGTGATGGACATGTGGGTGCAGGGAATGGATCTTTGACTTTCTTTTGGGTGGGGAAAACTTGGAAGCTTTCAGATGTGCCAATATGACATCTCTAATAAAATGGAACTTTAAGGAACCTCAAGCCTCGGAGTCTTCTTTTGTTGGGGGTGTTACTTGGAACCCTGACATTAACCCGAATCTGCTTTAAGACTCAACCAGCTCCCTGGATCCCAGGGTGCTGTCCGGGGTCCTGAGCCCTGAGCGTTGACCCGAAACGGGTGGTGTGAAGACTCAGGAAAGATGGAGGAAGATAACAATAAACAGGGCTATTGCTTTGGCCCTCTGACCCATCCAGTCTACCAGTCTGCTCTTTCGACCAGCTCCATTAGGAAGCCCATTGGTCAACCAGCAGATGGCCTTCGAAGGCAGTCTCACTGCTGTTAAAGCTTATAGTCACAGCTCTCCTTGAATTCCATGCCAGTGGTTGTATGTGAAAATTGGACAAAAGTCACTTTTTTCAGCGTCATTGTAACTTTGAACAGCCACTGAACGAAGGCTGTTAGAGTTGAGGATTACCTGGGCACCATTTTTCTTTTTGTTTCAGCAACTTGAGGATGAGAAGGAGGCTCTGAAAATGACAGCTGAGCTTCTGCAAGTTCGTGTGGCTTCGTTAGGTGATATCTTGACTCTGCAGGAGACCGAGCTTGATAAAAAGGTGATTTCATTTGAGCATTTTAGAAAATTCTGATGTCTTATCTAATTGGGGTTTCGAATATAATGATCCATATAGCATTGCTGTAATACCGGTACTTGTAATGGAATATAAAGCCCTACACAATGTAAGATCTGGATACTGTACTGTAGGATTGTCAAACTGGATTTCTTTGAGGGCCAGATCAGCATTGTAGTTCTCTTCCGTGTGCCAGCTGGGAGGGGGGGGGGGGAGACGGGACAGACACCTGCAGCACCCTGCCGGCCATGTGCACACCCCCATGTCACATGCGGTCCCTCACACCCTGTTTTGGCCAGCAAAGTGCTGCAGGAGGCCATCCAGGCTGAAAACAAGGTGCGTGCCCCCCCACGCCCTATTTTGGCTGCCAGAGGCACCGCGGGCCGGTCCTTTGCTATTTTCAGGCCGGTTCCACAGGCCAGATTTAAACACCCTGCAGGCCTTGAGTTTGACACCTCTGCTGTACTGTATATCAGCATTCCCCAACCTTTCTGGGGCCTGGGGTGGTGGTGGTGGTGGTGGGAAATAGGGGATGGATTTCTGTGAGGGGAGACATCCGCTCGCATGAGTGGAGCTGCCAGCAGTGGCGTCCACCGCTCATGAGTGGGGCTGCGCGCACACGCTCACATGCTGTTTGCACAGCCCAGTTCCGAATGGGCCGCGACCCAGGGATTGGGGACCCCACTGTAAGGCTCTGTAGAAGGCCCACAAGTGCCTTTTACACATCAGTTAGGGAAAATGGCCTTTTGCAGAGACCTTGTGTGCTAAAGATATGAAATGTAATGAACTGAGAGAGAACACTATAAGTACAATTTGTAATAGATCTGTCCCTAAGCTTTCTGGCTTTGTGGACTGGTGGGGTGAGGTGGGATGGGGTGGTGGATGGGAAAGCAGATGGTTCCGTGTGCGCAGCTCTATTTGCACACGAACAAATGGAACTCCTCACGCAAATGCGTGCTCGCTACTCAAGTGGAGCTGTGTACATGAGGACGCTCGGCCGCCATTGGCATGGCCTGGTTTGGAACGGGCCATGGCCCAGGGGTTGGGGAACCCTGCAATAGATCATAGAATAGGGGTATCAAACTTAATTTCATTGAGGGCTGCATCAGGGTTATGTTTGACTTTGGGGGGCCAGGTTGGCATAGCCAGCTCAATGTCACTCGTGTCGGGGGAGCCTGCGGTGGCCCAAGTGCTCTGCCAGCAAAAATGAGCTCCTGAGCTCCATTTTCAGCTGCGATGGCCTCCTGCAACCCTCTGCCAGAAAAAAATGGAGGCACCGCAAGCCGGTCCTTTGCTGTTTCCAGGATGGCCCCACAGGCCAGATCTAAGCACCCTGCAGGCCGGATCCAGGCCTTGAGTTTGACACCCCTGTCATAGAATGTAAGAGCTAGAGGGGACTTTGTCGATTGTCTAGTCAAACCCCTGCTCTCTGTAGGAATCCACTGCAACCTCTTAACTCTTCTAACTCTTCTCTAACTCATTTCTAACTGATCAACTGTTGTCATGGTATTTTATAGTTATGTGCGTAAAGGTTCTATTCTTTATTTTAAATTGGTTTATATTTCTTTTTAATTTTAATAAATTGTATCATTTTAACATTGGTTTTGATTTCTAAAAAAGCTTAGATTTTTTTTAAAAAGCCCATTTTATAAATAAATAATAAATGAGTGTGCAGAAGTAGAGTTACTAATTCTGGAGGAAACTTTGCTGCCAACTAAAGGAAGATAGTACCTTTGGATTATATTTTGCCCAGCTCTTTGGTACAATGCTCGTGATCATCACAGCTCCTGAACAATGAATAACTAGTAACTGCTGTCAAGAAAGTTCCCCCCTCCCATTTAAAAACATAGCATGAAACAAAGCACAGGGCTTCAGTTGCTTACTATGATTGCTTTTTTTCCCATTCAGTCATGACTAATTCTCAGAGACTGTTTGGACAAGTCTCTGCAGTATTCTTGTCAGGTTTTTCAGAAATGGTTTGCCATTGCCTTCTTCCTAGGGCTGAGAGAAAATGACTGGCTTAGGGTCACCCAACTGGCTTTGTGCCTAAAGCTGGACTGGAACTCAGTCTCCCCCTTTCTAGCAGTAGCACTAGCACTTAGACTAATATACCGCTTCACAGTGATTTACAGCACCCTTTAAGAAGTTTATTGAGTCAGCATATCGCCCCCAACAATCTGGGTCCTCATTGATCTCGAAAGGATGGAAGGCTGAGTCAACCTTGAGCCCGTGAGGTTTGAACTCCTGTCAGTGGGCACAATTAGCCTGCAATACTGCATTCGAATCACTGTGCCACCATGGCTCCTTTTAGCCTGATGCCTTCACCACTGCACCAAACTTGCTCTCCTGTCATGTTCCCTTTCTAAGAAAACATACTGAAACAGCAAGCATTCTTGACAACAGAGCTGGAGACAGACTTGCAACTCATTTTTTAATTACACATTTTTTTCAATGAGCCTGGCAGGATCTAAGAGTGATGTCTATTTTCATATTTCTCTCTGGATACCATGTTGTGAATTGTGATCCTAGTTACAGAAACAGGAAAATGTTTGGAGGAAGGGATGTAGGCCCGCTGAAATTGATGGCTTCCCAGGGGCTTTCATATCTTGATAGTTTTATGAGTGGAAGCTTTTTCTTGCATCTGAAAAGTCTAGCATTTTTGAGAACAAGACTTTGTCTTTTTCCATATGCCACCAATGGTGCATTTGTCTTTCCTGGTATCTGCAATCATTCCGAGTAGAAAGGGATGATAAGTATGTTGGAGGTCTGATTTTGTGCTTTATCTTCTCAGGTGCATCTCCAGGACCCTCTCCAGTCTGAGTCATCTCAAAAACTTCAGTGCCTGCTGACCAGATGGCGGGAGAAAGTATTTTCTCTCCTGGTGCAGCTGAAGTCTCAGGAGCTGAGTCATAGGGATGACACTAAACTTTTGGAGAAGAAGGTACGGTTTATCCATGAACAGGGACTAGGGGCCTGAGCGGATTAGAATATACACAGAAAATAACAGATGTTGTGCATTTTACAAATGGGAACTCCTTAACTTATCAGGCTCTGTGGTGGTGAGAATGCAGTACTGCAGGCTAACTGCCCACTGCCAGCAGTTCGATCCTGATGGGGCTCAAGGTTGACTCAGCCTTCCATCCTTCTGAGGTGGGTAAAATGAGGACCCAGATTATTGGGGGCAATATGCTGACTCTGTAAACCTCAGAGAGGGCTGTAAAGCACTGTGAAGCAGCAGATAAGTCCCAAGTGCTGTTGCTGTTTGGTTGAATTGATTAAATGCATATACTGATCTTCCCAGTGCATTCATTGGGAAATGGGTACATTCTCTAGAAAAGCCCAAATGGAGCATGGTAAACTAGGATTTCTAGGTTTGTCAGGAAAGATTGGGAGAGAGTGGGAAGAGAATGCTGAACACCTAGATTTTCTGATGAGATGTGAATGGTGGCTATGAAAAATTCTAATTGCCTAGGGCAGGGGTCAGTAACCTGCGGCTCTGGAGCCGCATGTGGCTCTTTCACCCCTCTGCTGCGGCTCCTTGTCACTCAAAATATGCGTCACAACTGCCAATGTGCGACACCCGCCGGCATGCAATTTATTGAGCTTTTCAACCCCTGGTAGGCCAACCATGGATAAATCCAAGAAAAAGAAAAGTTTCAGAAGAAAACAGAATGTTTAATTCAACTACATATGCTAGTTTTGTGGCCGCTCAAGAAATAGTCAGGCACAGGAAGGGTTTTGTGGCTCCCGGTGTTTTCTTTTCTATGGGAAATGGGTCCAAATAGCTCTTTGAGTGTTGTAAGGTTGCAGATGCCTGGCCTAGGGTGATAAAAATACTTGTCACTGTGTGGAAAGGCTGTTGGGCTTGCTAGTTATTATGAATGAGGTTATATGAAGAATTCATGAGTTGAATCCGGTTAGCGGCCAAGAGATTGAACCTGAATCAAGAGATGTGTAGATTTTGCCTTTAACCATGATTTACTAGGCAAGCCAAACCATGACTTACTAGGCAAGCCAATTTCAGCCTCAGCTCCTACTCATCTGCGTTAGAATACTTTTAAATCAAGAGTGCACAGCCTCTTGACTCCCAAAGCTTCCTAAAATATTCTGAAAAGTAAATACAGAAAAATATTCTGTATTTTTCAATGTTACAGAAGGGGGAAGTTATTAAAAACTAATATGGACTAATCATATTTATATAGTTTGTTTTCTTGTGATTGGTTTTGATCATTGCTGCGCCTTCGGCTTTCACCGGCTCCTATATTATTTGAAGTGGTGCTCACAGTATGCCCCTTAAATTGCCGATCCGACATTTTGGTTTATTGTTTCTTCTGTTTTATTGTTTTATCCATCTTTGTTTTTAAAGTCTGGTGGCAGATGTGTGAGGAGTAAAATATATAAGGCATGTAAAGGATTTCACATGCCTTTACATGCTTGGAAGTACATTATAAAACTTAAGTAGCATTGTATCCAGCCTTACATGTTCTTTTAAAAACTGTAAATCCTCCAGAATCTTTTTGGAGTTGGGCAGCCTTGAAACCCAAGAAATAAGAGCCAATTTAGTGTAGTGGTTAAGGTGCTGGGCTAAAAACCAGGAGACTGTAAGTTCTAGCCCTGCCTTAGGCATGAAAGCTAAATGGGTGACTTTGTGCCAATCACTTTCTCTCAGTTCAACTCACAGGGTTATTGTGGGGAAAATGAGGAAGAAGGAGTATTATGTATATTCACTGCCTTGAGGTACTTATAAGTGGATAATTCACTATCCCCAGGTAAAAGATATGGAAGAAGAAGTGGCTTCTAGAGAACAGAAAGTAGCGTTGTTGCTCCACAGTCTTGAGGACAAAACTGCTGAAGCGGATATGGAGAGAGTAAGAAACAAGGTAATATATTCTCACACAACCCCTCTTGAAACAGAAAGATTTGTGACTACAGATCCCTCTGTATTATAGAAATAGAATAACAGAGTTGGAAGGGACCTTGGAGGTCTTCTATCTAGTCCAACCCCCTGCCTAGGCAGGAAACCCTACATCACTTCAGACAAATGGTTATCCAACCTCTTCTTAAAAATCTCCAATGTTGGAGCATTCACAACTTCTGGAGGCAAGTTGTTCCACTGATTAATTGTTCTAACTGTCAGGAAATTTCTCCTTAGTTCTAGGTTGCTTCTCTCCTTGATTAGTTTACACCCATTGCTTCTTGTCCTGCCCTCAGGTGCTTTGGAGAATAGCTTGACTCCCTCTTCTTTGTGGCAACCCCTGAGATATTGGAACACTGCTATCATGTCTCCCCTAGTCCTTCTCTTCATTAAACTAGACATACCCAGTTCCTGCAACTGTTCTTCATATGTTTTAGCCTCCAGTCCCCTAATCATCTTTGTTGCTCTTCTCTGCACTCTTTCTAGAGTCTCCACATCCTTTTTACATTGTGGTGACCAAAACTGGATGCAGTATTCCAAGTGTGGCCTTACCAAGACATTATAAAGTGGTATTAACACTTCACGTGATCTTGATATTATTTGGAAATGGTTGTCCCCAGAGTGACTGATAGTAGTTGGTAGTTGGTAATTGATGGAAGAAAATGAAAGGAGGAGAATTAGCTGTGTTTTAGGAGAGATTTTCTCAGTAGAAAGTATAACCACTGTAGAGAAGGGGTGTGGCTTTAATTTTGATTAAGGGCACTCTAATATCCTCTTTGTTTAGATAACCAGAGTTTGTGAATTAAATACTGTTTTATATTTTTGATTGAACATTGTCCATTTTCCTACAGAGGAAGGTGTTCCGAAAGCTGAGTTGTTCCTCCCGTTCACTGCAGTATGGCCAAACTAACAAGTTTGTAACAGTCCTTAGAATGAGAAAAAGCAGTCTCTCTCTATCCTAGTTACCTCCTGCCTTGCTCTAGAATTGGGGCTTTTGGGCAAAGCTCTACACATAATTTATTTTCTCCTTGATTTATTAGACCCATGGTGGCTCAGTGGTTAGAATGCAGCATTGCAGGCTAACTCTGTTCACTGCCAGGAGTTCAATCCTCACCGGCTCAAGGTTGACTCAGCCTTCCATCCTTCCGAGGTTGGTAAAATGAGGACCCAGATTCTTGGTGCCAATAGGTTGGCTCTAAACTGCTTAGAGAGGGCTGTAAAGCACTGTGAAGTGATATATAAGTCTAAGTGTTACTGCTATTTGAGCAACATGCTGATTGGCCTTAGTGCAGCCAACCATCTGCTTTCATTCTCTGGATGTAAACAAAGAGGTGTCTTCTGTGGATCTGGAGTGACTTATAGGGATCACTTGGGACACCCAAGTTCTCAGAGAATGGCCAGATCTTAAGGCATGATAGTTTGTGCACCATAGATGAAGAATGGTAGGCCTTCTCTTGTTAATCCAAAGTATCCGGGAAGCCAGGAGTTGGTTCCCTTGGCAGCATAAAACTGGAGCAGTTCAATTCTCACATTTTCCTATTATCGATGGCTCGGTACCATTTTGGATTTTCCATTTAAACAAGGAAGAGATTCTAAATGAACATGCAGCTCCTGATCCTAATGCTTTCCGCATTCCCCTGAGAGGTGGCCATTTTCTTCCCTCAGAATTTCACCTCTAATGTCCTTTCCAGACAAAACAGATGACAGCAGCCCCTTCCCCTGAATAAAGAAATTGCTATGCCAAAAGGTAACTTCTGTGTACTTTTTATTGCTATCTGCTTAGGGAAAAAGTGTTAGGAATCCTCGGTAGCCAACCGAAGATGGGAGGTAATTTTTTTAAAAATAGAATTGATCTAGCAATAGCACTTAGACTTATAAACCGCTTCACAGTGCTTTAATGTTGTGGTCCACCAGCAGCCTGTGGAGCTGGCAGCGGAGTCGGACAGTGAGGAGGCTGGGGAGGAACATGGGCCAGTCCTGGAGTCTGGGAAAGCCCGGACGAGGGCTCTGCATCGGAGGCAGAGATGGGGCCAGGGCCATCTGGGAGTGATGCGTGGACTCCGGACCCCCCCCCCCCCCGAGTCGGACAGCAGAGAGGCAGAGGAACAGGAGGAGTCTGTTCCTAGTGTACGCATGCACAGAGCTGCTAGAAGGCAATAGCAGCTAAAGCAAAAAGGACAACTCGGGAGTAAGGCCAGGAGATGATTGGCCCCTCCCATAAGGCTTAAAAGAGAAACAAAGGCACTTGGGACTTTTGCAGCAAAGCAACGTTGCTAACTCTGTTTCCAGTCGGCATCTCTTGTTTGTTTCGGAACTTCGTGGGGCTTTGCCAAGTAAGGCCTTTGACAGGGTGTCGAAGAAGAAAGGTTGGTGATTATCCCAAAGGACTCCTTCCGAAGGACTTGTTTTGCAACTAATTGGGACTCGGCTGGGAATGAATGTAATTCTCAGCTGTTACAATAAAATAGGTTTGTTTGGGACCAATTGTGCATTGTAATGACTCAATAAGCCTAGGTCACAACATTTACAGCCCTCTCTTAGCGGTTTACAGAGTCAGTGTTTGCCATCAACAATCTGGGTCCTCATTTTGCCAACCTCGGAAGAATGGAAGGCAGAGTCAACCTTGAGATGGTGAGGCCCCTGTTTCCACTGGCACACCCAGAAACATGGTTAAAATTGGAACTTAGAATGAGAAAGATAGTTATTTAATTCTAAAATAGGGCCTTGCAGTAGCATTAAGAGTTTCTACCTTGTATGGTATATTCTGAAGAGATCACAAGAATTAATTTTCCGGCCTATTCAACAAAGAACCTTCCTTTTCTTACAGACTCTGCAAGCAGAGATGCTGCACTGCAACAAACAAATGCATAGTTTTCAACAGAGGGCAGAGGCTGGTGAAAAAGCCCTTCGGGAACTGGCCGACTTTGTCAGCAGGTAATAGAGAGAATGGATTCTAGGCTTCTCATCAAATATTGTTTCTGTTTGTACAGGTAGTCCTCAATTTACAACAGTTCATTTAGGGAAACTTAATTCTCATAAAAGAATTCACACAGGGGAGAGACCATATAAATGCCTGGAGTGTGGGAAGTGTTTCCCTCAGAAAAGATATCTTACTGAACATAAAAAGGTTCACGCAGGAGTGAAACCATATAAATGCACAGAATGTGGAAAGAGCTTCAATGTTACGATGGCACTGAAAAAAGTGACTTATGACTGTTTTTCCATTTAAGACCATTGCAGCATCTCCATAGTTACGTGATTAAAATTCAGATGCTTGGCCGCTGACTTGTATTTATGACCGTTGCAATGTCCCAGGGTTCGTGTGGTCGCCATTTGCCACCTTCTGACAAGCAAAATAATTGGAGGAGCCAAATTCTCTTAATAACCGTTGCTAATTTAACCGCTGCAACGATGCATTTAACAACTGTGACAAGAAAAGTAATAAAATGGGGCAAAAATTCACTTAACAAATGTCTGTCTCACTTTGCAACATCAATTTTGGCCTCAGTTGTGGTTGTAAGCCAAGGACTGCCTATAACTTTTTGCTGGCTTTCTCAGTTACATTGGCCTCTGCCTGATGCTGTAGGTGGTGCCTTGCACAGTCTCTCTCACCTTTATCCTTATAAGATTATTTTGTTATTGCAAATAACAAAAAGGAGACCTTGCATAAGTCACTTGAGATCCTAGAGTAAAGGCACAATATAAATCTAATAACTCTTTGGTAGCGCCTCTTTCATTTGTGAGACATTTTGTTAGACAACAACAAACAGTGCAGAATCCATTGTGATTTTTTAAAAAAAAAAATTATACATTTTTCTTTAACATATATAAGCGCTTAGTAAACAGTGTATTGTCTGGGTCAGTTTACTTATACATAATAATAGTGATAATATTATTTACTTATACATAGTAATAATCTTTCAACTTCTAATTTCTACCTCTATTGTCTAACCATTGATAAAGCAAATCCCATGTTGAAAAGTATTCTGTATCTTCTTTATCCTTTATCTTTAATGTTAACCTATCCATTTCTGTACAATCTAGTATTTTTTAAATTATTATTTCATCTGTAGGAGTTTCCTCATTTTTCCAATGCTATGCAAATACAATTCTCGCTGCTGTCAAGACATGTAGTATTAAATATATATTCCCTTTGTCATATTTTCCTGGTAATATACCTAACAAAAATATTTCTGGCTTTAAATCTATATGTTGCTTTGTGCCACTGTGATTTTTACTCCCCTTGTTTTTTGATCCTCCCCCCTCTTAATCATAAGAAAATCCATCTAGGATCACTGCAGCTGACTCATCCACTCTAGTTTTCTGTGCCAATATTGACCAGCCAAGTATATCTGGAATATTTACAAGCACGGACAGGAGAGCCTAGCCCTTTTCTCTTGTTGCATCATAGCAACTGGTATTTAAAGTATGCTTATAATTCTGGAGATGGTATCAGTAGCATAATCGTTCATGAATTTGTCCAGTCTTTTTAAAATAATCCATGTTAGTAAAATAATCCACGTTGACATTCCACAATTTAACTATTTGTTGGGAAAAGAAGTGCTTCTGATCTAGAGTGGCCCTGACTGTCTCTGCATTTAGTTTCAGTGGATTATTTAAAAACCTAATATTGCGAGACGGAAGTGTTCCTAACTTACATTTTCTATATCTTGAATGATTTTATGTCTTCAGTCATGTATCCCATTGCTTGCCTTACTCCACGTTAAAAACCTGTAATCATTGTAGTTCTTCATTGGAGTACGATAGTTCTCGACTTACAACCGCAATGGAACCCAAAACTGGCTAAACAAGACAGTTGTTAAATGAGTTTTGCCATATTTTATTACCTTGTTTGCCACAGTTGTTAAGTGAATTACTGCAGTGTTCCAATATTTGAGGGGCTGAAACAGAGAGGAGGGGGACAAGCTGTTTTCCAAAGCACCCAAAGGCCAGACAAGGAATAATGGATGGAAACTGATCAAGAAGAGATTCAATCTGGAAATAAGGACAATTTTTCTGACAGTGAGAACAATCAACCAATGGAACAGCTTTGCCTTCGAAAGTTGTGGGAGCTTCATCACCGGAAGCTTTCAAGAAGAGACTGGGCTGCCATCTGTCATGAATGGTGTGGGGTCTCTTGGTTGGGTGGGGGGTTGGACAAAATGACCTACAAGGTTCCTTCCAACTCGGTTAATCTGTTAAATAACATGGTTGTTAAGTGAATCTGGCTTCTGCATTGACTTTGCTTGTCAGAAGGTCACAAAAAGAGGATCACATGACCCTGAGACACCAACTGTCATAAATACATGCGAGAAGGGGATCCTGCAATGGCCATGTCAAAACTGGTCATAAGTCACTTTGTCCAGGGCTGTTGAAACTTCTAACAGTCACCAAAAGAATGGTTGTAAGTCAAGGACTACCTGTCCTTGCAACTTTTTTTTGCTTGCCTTTTTTGCATCTTTTCCAGCTCTGCAATATCCTTTTTGAGGTACTGACAGAATCAATCCAATATCTACAATATGTTCTGTTTATTACCAGCTAATCTGGAGATTCACATTCAGTTTTAGGAGGTTGTAAAAACCTGAAGTGTTGAAGGGCCCAAATTCCCCATCTGGATGATTGTCACCATCAGTGTGATGTCTCCTGCACTCTGAAGTAATTCACTCATTGAATATACTCTAGGGAATATTCGCCACATTAGAATAAAATGAAAGTGTAAAAAAGAATTCATTACCACATACATCCACATCTGTTACCTGCTGAAGAAGGACAACTGGTTAGGAAATCAGTATAATTAGACTGTTTATTTACAAGACAGTCCCAGTTAATTAGACACTGTGTTTTGCAAGAGTTAATTGATTTATATGTACAGATAGAATAGAATAGAATAGAATTCTTTATTGGCCAAGTGTGATTGGACACACAAGGAATTTGTCTTGGTGCATATGCTCGGTGTACATAAAAGAAAAGATACATTCGTCAAGAATCATAAGGTACAACACTTAATGATAGTCATAGGGAAACAGTCAATATAAATCTTAAGGATAGTACTGGTTTAGAGCCTTGGTGTATATTACGAACCCCCTACTTTCCAAGTTAGAGATTCCAAACATCTTGAAAAGTTTTGAAATTCAAACCAATTGCTTTTTAGGCTAAAGCAGCAGCTGATGGGGCAGGAAGAGAGATGGAAGGCAGCTTTGTCAAGGCTTCTGGGCCTGGGAAATAGGGTCAGTTTTGCAACCAAGAGAGTTGACACCATCCAAGGTAAGCTATGGAGCAATCTGGGCATTAATGATCTTCACTGTAATCTTGTCTGGCATGTTCCCCCCCATTTATTTATTCAATTTCTATAGCCGCCCATCTCGATTCAGTTAATTCTTTATACCAGGGATGGGGAACCATGGCCCTTTTATGACTGGTGGACTTCAACTCCCAGAATTCCTGAGCCAGCCCTGCTGGCTTCCTGTAATATAATGGCTCAAGAATTCTGGGAGTTGAAGTCCCCCTGTCATAAAAGGGCCATGGTTCCCCACCCTTGCTTTATATACCATTAAACCATTACAGGTAGTCCTTGAGTTATGACCACAATTGAGCCCAAAATTTATGTTGCTGAGTGAAACATTATTTAAGTGAATTCATCCCATTTTGCAATTTTCATTGCCACAGTGGTTAAGTAAATTATTTGTTAAGTTAGTGACGGTTGTTAATTGAATCTGGATTCCCCACTGACTTTGCTCTTCAGAAGGTTACAAAACGTTACCCCAGGATACTACGACAGTCATAAATATGAACTAGTTGCCAAGCATCCAAATTTTGATCTTGTGACCGTGGGGATGCTGCAGTGGTCGTAAGCGTGAAAACTGGTCATGTCTCTTTTTTTTTCCAGTGCCCTTGTAACTTTGAATGGTCACTAAGTGAACTGTTGTAAGTTGAGAACTACCTGTATGTTACTTCCCGTAGAACAAGAAAAAGCAATTCAGCTGTGGTTTTACAAAACGTTAGTTTTGAATTATTATTTTCAAGTAAGCTTCCTGCTCTTCTGGTGGGTGTTATTTTTAGAAATTTGCCGCTATTGTCTGTTGAAGGCACTGAAATGGAAATTGTAAACATTTCTCTTGCCTTATTACAATACAAATGCTAATTCAAATAAAGGAAATCCCCTTTGCACTTTGTTTTGTTACAATAATACCAAGTATTGCAACATGTTTCACAGAGAAGTTCAGGGCTTTTTCTCTCACTACAGAGTGCAGGACATGAGATTTTAAAACTGATTCCAGTTGAGTATTATAAAAAGCATCTTAAGCCTGAATATTTAAACAGTGGATCTAATTATCAAGTGAGGTGGTGGGCTCCCATTTGTTTTTCTGGGTTGAGGCAAAAATACTAATTTGGATTCCTGCATACATAGACAATCCTAATATTAAACATTTATTTTTGCTGTCTGGCTGGTAAAGTCAGTAAGGAACAGAAAAACCTGAGTTCTAGTCCTATCTTTACTGGTTATTTTGGATCACTCATTTCCTCTCGGCACCTAGGAAGAAGGCAGCGGCAAACCTCTTCCCAAAATGTAGCCTAGAATATTGCGTGGCCTTATCCTTGCAATTAGCCAAAATCAAGTTTGACTTGCACACATAAATATGTATAAATATACGTGTATCCTGCTCCAATGTGACTGCGATCGGTAACTTATATAGTACTTGTAAATTGTAAAAACAAAACATTTGTGATGTGATATAAAATAACATCAACAATGAAGATAAAGAATAAATAGGGACAAAAATAAGATAATGAAGACTAAAAAAAACCCGAAAAGGGACAAAAAATAATAATTATGGTGCATTGTGTAAGTTAATGATCTTGGTGGACTCCACCTTAGCAAAGGTGTGAAATAAATGCAAATAGAAGTCTTATCATCTTTACTAAGCTATAGTTTGTGGAAGCCATGATATAAAACTGATATTAAACAGATGATGAACTTGTGGCGTGCCAGAAATCATTCTCTTGTTTAAAACCATTACAGCTGCTTGCCTACCACTTCTTATCCTATTATTAGAGTCACCTTTGGTGAGATGGGCAGCATGGATGGATGGATGGATGGATGGATGGATAACTGCAGTCAGTGATCACTGCCAAAACAAAACTTGATTACTGTGATCAACATATTGTGCTTATTTTTTGGAGCTTGTTTTTTTTGGAGGTTTTTTTTTTTACACCTCAGTGGTTAGATGGCCTAGACCAGGGGCCCCAACCTCTGGCCGTGGCCTACTAGTGAGCCATGAGCTATTTACAAGTGGGCCGTGGAAACGGCAGGCAAGTTTCTGCCCATGCATCTCCACTTGCGCGAGCAGCGGGCGAGTGTGTGCACGCACACTCCGTTCGTGTGAGTGGCAGGCGTGCGGGCACACCACTCACACAAGTGGAGCTGTGCACATGCATGCGCTTACCAGCTGCTTACACACAACCATCCCCTCTCCCTCCCCACCAGTCCGCAAAGCCGGAAGGGTTAGGGAACTCTGGGCTAGACACATATTTTATTGTGTTCTACTGATCTAAGTGAAATGTTAATATAGATTACTAGTCCATATATGATATGCCATACGCCAGTGGTGGGTTGCTATCAATTTGTACCGGATCGGGCGAACTGGTGCGCAGAAGCGCCGCACGCTCACAAGCGAACCAGTAGCAACAGGATTTGGAACCCGCCCCTGCCATACGCTAAATAAATAAATAAATGTTTACCCCTTATTTGGGGTATTTCTTTTGTGGAGGATTGAGCTTATTGTCATTGAAATGTTCACCAACTGTTGTTTCTTTTCATCTTCAAGTAAAAATAACTCTCTCAGACTTTTGTGGAGTCAGGAGGGGGGAATAATTTTGTTTTAATTAAGTGTAGTTGTGTATGAAATGGCTTCCTGAACTCTGGTATTTCTGCATTCATTCAAATAACCTTTATATTTCATACGATACGCTCCTTCCCCCGCTGTAATTATATAATTATGTATATCTCGGTTTGAGGAGTTTATTTTTACCGTTCAGTTTCTATTTTGTGTTCTAGGGCTTGTATGTCGGAAAATAGCACTGGCAAAGCTTCAGCGAGAAGAAAAACATATTGCAGGGACAGACCAAGAGTAAGTTCAAAATTCCAGGTCCCAGAAATAACTACTGTAGAAGGCAGATTGGTTAAGCTCTTTATAATTCTGTATGTTTATTTAAAAGGGAAGTGCCAATTATTTTCTCCACTCTTTTGCATATTACAAATTATTGTCACTGGAGTATTATGTATGGATATTGAGGCTGATAAATTACTTCCTATGGCTATTCAGCGCATATATGGCTAAAATGGAGTTTTGAATTCCAACCAAGTGCTATACTTTTCTGCAAATAGCCCATCCTTGTGTTAGACCTCCTGTGAGCCCCAGCACCCATTTGTGCCCTCATACAGCTCTAGAATGGGGTGACATTTTGTAACTTTTAAAACTTGTAACTTTAAGACCTTCCCTCTCACATGCAAAAATGTGGCTAAAAGTCCCCATCTGTTGAGTTTTCATCCAGATCCCTTCACAGACTCTTAAGCAGGACACAAATATGGCGAAATCTCAAAACCCCGAAAAAGGTTTCCCATCTGTGATCCATATATGGTGAATTACATCAGAGAGAGAAAAGCTGGAATGAATGCCTCAGATATTTTGTGTAGAGGTAGTCCTCAAGCTACGACCACAATGGAGCTCAAAATTTCTGTTGCTAAGTGAGACATTTGCTTCGCCCCATTGTACAACATTTTTCTTGCCACAGTTGTTAAGTGAATCACTGCAGTTGTTAAAGTTAGCCACGTGATTGTGAAGTGAATCTGTCTTGCCCATTTACTTTGCTTATCTGAAGGCCTTAAAAGGTGGCCCCAGGACATTGCAATCGTCATAAATATGAGTCAGTTGCCAAGCCTCTGAATTTTGATCCATGTGACCATGGGAATGTCATAACTGTCGTAAGTGTGAAAAACAGTCAGAAGTCACTTTTTTTCAGTGCCATTGTAACTCCAAACAGTCACTAAATTAACTGTTGTAAGTCGAGGATTACCTGTATTTGGGAGGTAGAGCTAAAAACCAGAACTTCTAAGCATCAGTGCAGTTCAGTCACAATATATATTTCGTTCATGGACAAGGTGAAAAGAGAAAGTCCCAAGTATGATTCAATACTTATGGCTTCTGCTCACCCTTTCTTTCCAGGATTCAGCCATCGTATGAAGACCTACAAGCTGAGTTACACATGCTGCATGAGGAACGAGACCGACTCTCTGCGGAGCTTAAACATGGGGCTCAACTGATAGAGAAGAAGGTGGCTGAAGCAAGAGAGAGAGGTGATTTCAGTACTATTGTATTTCAGACAGTTGGTGCAGGCTGGCAGGATATTCCACACAGCTCAACATTCTAGAAAATGGGCAAGTCAGAAAAAAAAATCCAGTTTTAGCCCGTTCTTCGCCCAGAGATATAGGAAATCTTTCACATGGAAGAAAATTCATCTGTGTCCACAGCTGGAATCTGAAATAATGCGGCAAGGAGGCCTTGTTCGTTCACTGATGCTTCCCTGTTTTTAAGGCTGAATTGAACAACTTTTCCCAACTTCTGGGGAAGGAATATAGCAATATTGGTTTGCTGTCTCCTTTTCTCCTTTTGACCCTTTCTTTTCTCTCTTCTCCCAAACAGTGGAGACTGATCTGAGCAAAATGAGGGGAACGTTGCAGCACCTGCAGGAGACGCTAGAGGCAAAGACAGCGGCAGAGCAGGAACTGAGGCAACAGTTGGAGGCTACAGAAAAACAACTGGAAACAACCAACAGTGAGCTCCAGAGGACTGCCGGAGCTGCAGATAGTTTGAGACAGGAAGTGGGACAATTAAGAGCAGAGTATGAGAGAGGTATGTTAAGTTCGTCAGAAATGGGAAAAATTGATTTCTGGAGATAAGTAAGCTCTTGCATTAAAAGGTTCTTTTTTTTTTTCTATGATGATGAGTAGAAACAATTAGAAATTCCTGTGGCTGCAGGAATGCAATTGTAACACCAAAACACAGAGAGCTACAGTTCTGTATTAAGATTTGCCTTGTATCTCAGGTATATTATCTGTAAACTGAATTTTCTGTGCTGCATCAGACACTTGTAGACTTACTCCTTCCTAAAATATTGGATCAGCCCCTTTCCTGAATGTGAACAACAATTGTGTTTTTTTAGCTTAATGAGAAAGGCTGGGTTGAAGATACACCTGAGATATGAAGTTCTTTTAAGAAAAGGTCCTCATCTATTTGAAGTCCTCCTTAATGGACATTGAGGGTTTTTTCCCCCTGCAATTATTCCTTCTGAGATGGTTGTTGTTGTTGTTAGTTGCGAAGTCGTGTCCAATCCATTGCGACCCCATGGACAATGTTCCTCCAGGCCTTCCTGTCCTCTACCATCCTCTGGAGTCCATTTAAGCTCATGCCTACTGGTTCATTGACTCCATCCATCCACCTCATTCTCTGTTGTCCCCTTCTTCTTTTGCCCTCAGTCTTTCCCAGCACTAGATTCTTCTCCAGTGGATCCTTCCTTTTCATTAGGTGGCCAAAGTATTTGAGTTTCATCTTCAGGATCTGACCTTCTAAAGAGCAGTCAGGATTGATCTCCCTTAGGACTGACCGGTTTGATCGCCTTGCAGTCCATGGGACTCGCAGGAGTCTTCTCCAGCACCATAGTTCAAAGGCCTTAATTATTTGGCGCCCAGCCTTCCTTATCGTCCAACTTTCACAGCCATACATTGCAACTGGGAAAACCATAGCCTTGACTATACGCACTTTTTTTGGCAGGGTGATGTCTCTGCTTTTTAGTATGCTGTCTAGATTTGCCATAGCTTTCCTCCCCAGGAGCAAGCATCTTTTAATTTCTTGGCTGCAGTCCCCATCTGCGATGATCTTGGAGCCCAGGAAAATCTGTCACTACCTCCATTTCTGCCCCCTCTATTTGCCAGGAATTGAGAGGGCCGGATGCCATGATCTTAGTTTTCTTAATATTGAGTTCCAAGCCAACTTTTGCACTCTCTTTCTTCACCAGCATCAAGAGGCTCTTTAGTTCCTCTTCGTTTTCTGCCATTAGACTGAGATGGGTAGGTAATTTTTTTTCAGACTGACAGAACATGATCAGATTGGAGGACTTCCAACGTGTTTTTTTTTCCAGCTCTTTCATTTTATATTATTTATTCTGACTTCCTGGATGCAGCAATATTCTCAAATACTATCATCAATGATAGTATGGCTATTGCTATTTTCATATAACGGGGGCCCCAACAGTTGAATACATATACTAGATGGGCCACTCATTGCTTAAGAGTCCTTACGGGGCACATACAAAATCCCCCAAATCTCCCTATTTAAAATATAAAAATTATATAATTGAGATTGGAGGCTTACAGTTGCAAGAAAAAGTATGTGAACCCCTTGGGAGTACGTGGAGTTTTGTATGTTATGTTCAATTAAACTATGGCAACATCTAATGTTTGTGTAGTATTATTTTAAGCAGACTGTGTTTTTCTATTGTTGTGACTTAGATGAAGTTCAGAGCACATTTTATGACCAATTCATGCAAAACTCCACGTACTCCCAAGGGGTTCACATACTTTTTCTTGCAACTGTATTACCTATGAGTGATGGATAGGGGTTGGTATAATGAATAAATCTAATGAGAGCTGGCGGTGGCAATGATCAAATGAAAAAGGACCATTCCCCAATAGCAGAAATCACGTGGAATCCAGGGCATTAAATTTAGAAAAATGGGTTACGAGCAGTAGGCATTTAGTTAAGGTCAATGCCATTTCTTCTCAGCTCTGCAGGAGAAGGTAACGGAAGTTGAAAGGCAACTGCGGAAGGATCTTTCTGAAATGGAAAAAGCACTTAATACAGCACGGAGAGAACACGCCAAAGCAGGTAAGAGTTGTCACGCTGTTGTCTATGGAAGAAGGCTGAAGATGTTTTATCTGTGGCAGAAATATTTTAAAAAGCCTTTTGTGGTAAAGGGATAACAGAAGATTTTTATTACAAGGCCAAGCTACGGTTAAGGTTGCAAGATGGACTACTTGGGTCCATGCTAAAAAAATTATATTTATTTATTAAATTTATATGTTGCCCATCTCACTATCAAGTGACTGGACGGCAGGTTGCAATTCAGGAGGGAAACCCATTCTATCCAGAACTTAGCCTGGAATGACCTTTATCTGAACTTCCAAAGAGCTGCTGCCATTCACAGTAGATGGCCTGCATCGTTTGACTGACCTTAGGGCAGTCGGGTATACGTGGCAAGAGGCTTGTGTTTCTCACTCTCAGCAACATGAATCCCTCTTTAAATGTGCTTACATCCTTAGTGGTTGCCCTTCGGCAAGCTGAGCGACAGGCAGCCAGAGACAAAGCAAGGAGTGAGGAACTGGCAACAATTCAGGAGTCTGCAACACAACAGGAAATGGCCCGTCTAGAAGGACTTCTGAAAGAGCTTGAGAGGGACAAAAACGTGTTAATGGTATGTTCAAGCAGTAAGGGGGGAATTGTTTACCCCATTGCTGGCTTTTCATTAAGATTGCTTCCTTCCTCTTATAGGCCACCTTGAGGCAAGAAGGGCTACTAGCCCAGTATCGAAAGAATCGGATGCCAGCAGTCCCAGCTAAGTCAATTGGAAAGACAGGAACTAGTCCTCCATCTAAAGGTATAGATTTGTTGCCTGAGAATTCTATTTTTTCCCTTAAAAATATATTGTTTTATCATAAAAAAGAAAACACAAAACAGTAAAAACAAACAAAATGAAACAAAACAAAAGCTGTTATCTAAATAAATTGATTCTATCTATCTATCTATCTATCTATCTATCTATCTATCTATCTATCTATCTATCTATCTATCTATCTATCTATCTAAAACTCAACAAGTTAAACTAAATATTACACTAATCTCCAAATCCCTCTGTTAACCATCCGTTATTATATTTAACTCATAGAAAGTCCACCGACAGTTTCCAGTTTCTTATAAAGTTGCCTAATCCATTATCTCTAAGCAAAGCAGTTAATTTTGCCATCTCTGCTAATTCAGTCAATTTCAAAATCCATTCTTCATTTTTTCCCCTGTGCTGTCTCCAGTTAACAGAAGTATCACATGTTGCTTCCTGTAATCCTTTGCAATTCTTATTGTTAGTTTATTTGTAAAAGTTTGAGAGTTTTTTCCTAAATTTTAGTGTTTCCTTTTTCTTCTGGCTTAAGGATGTTTGGTCCAGGATTTTGTTGATGACTTCCTGCCCCTAACACATCATATCCTTTAAAGATATTTCTTTTCACAGAATCCCTATTTGCTGTGTTGGATGACTTACAAACTCTGGGTGCTGCTATCTTGGAGGAGGAAAAGCCTGACAAAAATACAAACACCCTTATGGACACTTAAAAATACAGTGGGAAAATATTGGAGAAGCAAGGATGAGAGAGATCATTTTATTTTGTAATAAAAATGATGTAAATAAATTTATATTTGAAATGTTCAGTTTCAAAGTTCTGATTGTCTCATAAAGACTATCACAGATCTCCCACATGTTTGGATGGGGAAAAATAGTTTAGGACCTCTAAAAATCATACCAATTGATATTACATAACACAGTTAGGCCTATTCCTTGCTATATTGTTCTTAACAATAGATTAATCAATTACATTCAGTTTTAAGGCAACTGGGATGATTTCACCACAGCCACATAAGCAATAAGATGGTTAACTTTTTTAGATATCAAATTATAATATCCATTCCATTTTAATTCTATAGCTCCATACTATGGTGATTTTATTATGGTTTTATCTTAATTTATTTTCCATATAGTATTGTTCATATATCTTACACACATGCACACATACTTTCTGAGACTTTAAACTATATTTGTATATCAGTGTGCATGACCTCTGTAAATGCCATACATTAAATAAATAAATAAATAAATAAAAGTATAACATTAGATTCAGTCTGAAACACTCATTTTGCTGGACCAGATAAAAAGAAAGTAAGATATTATGTTCTGAAAGGAATTTATCAACAAAACCAAAGAGAAACAGTTACTCTATAGAAAATACAAATAGCACATACCGGTAGAACCATTTAATTTTTTTAAGACATTCAGCTTTCTATTTTTGCTACCACTGCTTAAGCACCTCTGTTAATACATTAAATAAGCTCACCATGCTTATTTCTCCTCAAAATGCTCACCATTTCTCAAAAAAAAAAAAAAAAAAAAGACCAAAAGGTATACTGGCTAATATTTCCATATGAGCAAATTTATTCCACATAACAGCTCCAAATTATAAACCTTCTCTCCTTGACCATGCTTCCCTTGATGATGTTTCCCTCTTTGCTGCTTGTTTTTTCCAATAAAAGTGTGGGAAGAACAGAAGAGGGTGGTTTGTTGACTGGTGACCCCCTTAAATAAAATAACTGAGTCGGAAGGGACCTTGGAGGTCCTCTAGTCCAACCCTCTGCTGAAGCAGAAGACCCTATACATTTCAGTCAGATGCTGGCAATCTCTTAAAAATCTCCAGTGATGGAGCACCACAACTTCTGAAGGCAAGTTTTTCCACTGATTAATTGTTCTAATTTTCAGGAAATTTCTCCTTAGTTCTAAGGGGGGGTTTTCTCCTTTATTAGTTTCCATCCACTCTTTCAAAGCGGCTGCATTCATTTCTTCCTTCAAACAAGGAATCCTTGCGGATTCTCACTGTCACTGTGTTATGTGTTTGTCAGCTGAGCATCCATTCTGAGCCTGCCAGAGAACTTCTATCACGTATCTATAGCAACAGAGATAAGACTAGTCTTGTGAAACTTTAAGCTACTGCGCATGTCTACATTCTTTTCTAACTTCCTGATTTATACTTCCTTTGTTCGTCTGTGTGATAAGCTGCCGGTAAAGATGTAGTTAGTTAGTTTTTTCTATTTTTATAATAAAATATATATTTATATTTATATAAATTATATAATTTATAATAAAATCTTTATTAGAATATATATATTTCGGTTTTTCTTTCTTTAAAGTATACAGCATGGAAAACAAGATCCATCTGTCTCTAATTAGGTGCAATTACCCCAGGGGGAAAACGAGGCTGATTTACGTTTCGACACTCACGCCCCATCACCACCTCCTGCCCATCCTTCAAGGGGGTTCTCAGCTTGCCCATACAGGTTGTCTTCAACTTACGACCACAATTGATCCCAAAATTCCTGTTGCTAAACAAGACACTTGTTAAGTGAGTGTTGCCCCATTTAACAACCTTTGTTGCCTCAGTTAAGTGAATCACTGCAGTTGATAAGTTAGTAACCCGGCTGTTAAGTGAATTTGGCTTCCCCATTGGCTTTCTGGCTTGTCAGAAAGTCGCAAATGGTGATCACATGATCTTCAGACACAGCAACATCATAAATATGAACCAGTTGCCAAGCATATAGAAGAGAATAGAATAGAATAGAATAGAATAGAATAGAATAGAATAGAATAGAATAGAATAGAATAGAATAGAATAGAATAATTTATTGGCCAAGTGTGATTGGACAAACAAGGAATTTGTCTTGGTGCATACGCTCTCGGTGTACATAAAAGATACATTCGTCAAGAATCATAAGGTACAACACTTAGTGATAGTCATAGGGAAACAGTCAATATAAATCTTAAGGATACCAGCAACAAGGTTACAGTCATACAGTCATAAGTGGGAGGAGGGTGATAGGAACGATGAGAAGATTAATGGTAATAGTAATGCAGACTTAGTGAATAGTTTGACAGTGTTGAGGGAATTTTTTGTTTAGCAGAGTGATGGCGTTCGGGAAAACTGTTCTTGTGTCTAGTTGTTCTGGTGTGCAGTGCACATGATTATGGGGATGTTGGAAAGGCTGTAACTGAAAAAAACGGGTCATTAGGTCAAATGTCTCAGGAGATTCCCAGTCATCCAGGTCATGGTTGCCCCAAAGGTGCCTTTTCAAGAGGCAAATGGATTTTCTGCTTTTTCTTATAAGACCCTGAAAAAGCTTCTTGGATGAGAAGCGAAACGTCTTCAAAGAAAAACCAGAAGGTCCAGTTGCCTCTTTTAAAAAAAAGCACCTTTGGGTCACAAGTCACTTTTTTCAGTGCCGTTGTAACTTTGAACGGTCACTAAACGAGGTAAATCGAGGATTCCTGTTACTGGGCCACTTTCTAGCTAGAAAGCGAAGCTGGGAAGCGGCCCTAGTCCTCGCTCCTCCTCCCACCTTCCCTCCCCCCCCCCCCCGCCACCCAATCGCCTTCCGCCGGCCGAAAGCGCCAACAAGGCCGAACCCCCACCCTGACGCTCCCAACCAATCAGGGCCTTTCCTCCGCCCCAAGCCCTGCGTCTGGCCTCGCGCGCTTTATGCTAGCCGACCCGCCCTCGAGCCTTCCCAGCCAACGGGACAGCAAGGCTTTCTCTGGGAGAGGCCAATCGGCGTCGGAGGCTACGGCCGCTCCTCCTTCCCTTCGCTTCAGCCGGGCCAATCGGAAGGCAGCGCGCGCCGCTCGGAGCCCCGGGGAGCGGCTTTTGACAAGGGAGAAAAGCCTCGGGGCCAGAAGCGAAGCGCGGACCTTTATAAGGCTATTCGAGGCGTCGCCAAGGAGACGGAGATTCGAGAACCCTCCGGCCTCCCCCCACCCACCACCACGCCCAAGATCGCTCGTTGCTACGGCGACGCCCGGGTTCTAGAAGCGAACCGCGTTGCCTGAGCAGAGCGGGGCTTTGGATGTTCCAGAACGCTTGCAAGGAAGGGCGGTCCGGCTTCGCTGCCGGGCAAACCGGAGAGACGAGAAATCTGCAGCTTTTTGTGGCCGGCCGGTATAAATTCGAATTCATTTCCAGGATCTTCAACCTGCTGGAGAAAGCCGAGGCGGTTTCGATCCGGTCCCTCGAGATCTGCATCCTCCCTTTCCCGAGGAAGATGCTCGAAGAAGCCCGGCGGGGCTGATTTCCACGAACTCGGGACCTGCGGGGTAGTTTTCCCTGCCGTGGAAACCTGCAGAAGTGGGGGAAGGAAAAAAAAAAAAAAAGACTTCAGGCAAGAATTCCCATGGCTGGTTGCAGACACGGGTGTTTTGCACTCACAATGCGGGTCAGGAGTCAGTCTGACTCGAAATTGCTCTCGAGGAACTAATTGTTCTTAAAACGTCTTGCGACGCGTGTCACGCAACGCATGTCATGCAAACCTTGGTGGTCTTGCAACGCGTGTCATGATGAGATGAAAGGGGCTGCATGACTGAAGAAGCCTTATTTTCTTCTTCTTCTTCTTCTTCTTTGCAGTTAAATCAATTGGGGTTAATCAAGGAAGCTCTGCTGATGGAAGGATCCCGGACTGCCCACCCCTCACCCACCCGCCTTCAGGTAGAGATGAACCTGTCATTGCACAACAGCCTGTGATTTGGGACATTCAGCCAATTTTTGTAACAATCTCAGTTTTTGCAATTGAACCCTATTGTCTTACATCCAGTCCTTGCTGCTTTTCCCTTAAAAAAAAAAAAGGTTGCTGGCTTGTCACAGCGGAAAGTCAACTTGCCGGCTTGCAGGTGGAGTGACTGAACCCTGCCTTGGACCTGCTTTGTCACCTGACACCACTGCCTTTGGATTGAGGGAGACCTAGCCATGCTTTCTGAAGCTCTGCCCTGCTTCCAGTTACTCCGGATGGGCCCGGCCTCTTCTGGGGATTTGCCAAACCGGGATCTCTACACTTTCCGACCTGCCAAGCCCAGCTGCATTTATCGTCTGGGTCGCCGTGCTGAAGTTTGTGATGTCATTCTGGTGTCCGAACAGAACCCAGCCTTGATCTCCCGGGTCCATGCGGAGATACACGCAGAACGGGATGCTGACAGCATGGCGGGGGAGTGGCGAGTTGGCCTGGTGGACTGCAGCAGTTATGGTGAGTTCTTGTGAACACAAGTAGACTTTGACTGACAACAGTTCATTTAGTGAAGTGTTCAAAGTTCACTAAATGAATTGTTTAGTGTTCAAAGTTACAACGGCACTGAAAAAAGTGACTTATGACCATGTTTCACACTTACGACCGTTGCAGCATCCCCGTGGCCACGTGATCAAAATTCAAAGATGCCCGGCAACTGACTCGTATTTTATGACAGTTGCTGTGTCCCAGGGTCATGTGATCACTTTTTGCGGCCTTCTGACAATGGGGAAGCCAGATTCACTTAACAATTGTGTTTGCTAACTTGACAAATGCAGTGATTCGCTTGATGTGGCACAAAAGGTTGTAAAATGGGGTTAAATTCACTTAGCGAATGTCTCGCTTAGCAACATCAATTTTGAACTCAATTGTGGTCGTAAGTAGAGGATTGCCTATATTAAGCTGCTAAATCCTGGCCTAATTGTTTATTTACATCCCACTTTTATTAGTTTTATAAATAGCTCAAGGTAGCCAACACACATAATACTCTTTCTGCCTTCTATTTTCCCACAACAAAACCCTGTGAGGTGGGTTGGGCTGAGAGAGTGATTGGTCCAAGTCGGGATCTCTTGGTTTCTAGGTGTTAACCACAACACCAAAGAGGTTTTTTTTTTTTAATTTGATTTATATGCCGCCCTTCTCCGGAGACTCAGGGCGGCTTACAGTGCGTTAAGCAATAGCCTTCATCCTTTTGTATATTTATACAAAGTCAGCTTATTGCCCCCACAAACTGGGTCCTCATTTAACCTACCTTAGAAAGGATGGAAGGCTGAGTCAACCTTGAGCCTTGGCGAGATTTGAACCAGCAGAAATTGCAGGTAGCTGTGTTAATAACAGGGTGCGTAGACCACTGTACTATCAAGGAGTTCAGACACTCCTTCCTAAATGTATTGAATTTCAGCACGGTTGGACTTTTGAGGGTTAAAAAGAATTGCTTTTATTTATTCATTTATTTTGAGGACTTCAGAAGAAAACCCACAGCTCAGAAGTTGAATAATTGCTTAGACTAATACAGGTAATATTTATATAAGGGGCGTCAACCTTATCCTTTAAAAGTCAAGTTCATTGCTGAAGGAGAAACACACATTCCAAAAGGCCTGATATGAAACAAACTACAATATAGATAGTCCTCAACGTACGACCAAAATTTCTATTGCCATGTGAGACAGTGGTTAAGTGAGTTTTGTCCCATTTTACAACCTTTCTTGCCACTGTTGTTAAGTGAATCACTGCAGTTGCTCAGTTAGTAACACGGTTGTTAAGTGAATCTGACTTCCCCATTGACTTGGCTTGTCAGAAAGTCATAAAAAGCGATCACATGGCATTGGGACACTGCAACCATCATAAACATGAATCAGTTGCAAAGCATCTGAATTTTGATCCTATTAACCATGGAGATGCTGCAGTGGCCATAAGCGTGAAAAACAGTCATAAGTCACTTTTTTTCAGTGCGGTTGTAACTTCGAACAATCACTAAATGAACTGTTGCAAGTCAAGGACCACCTGTAGCTCACACTTAGAGAGCACGCTGCTTTTTTCACTTCTCTGCTTCTCTCGGGTGTGTTGCAATACTTGAGCACCTGACTTGATCCTGCACACATGAAATATTTTTTTAAAAAAAGTCTCGTAAACTTGAGTATTAAGTGGCTGCAAATACTTGTAAATAACAAAATACTTTTCTAAGTGTCCATCTTCCTTTCCTTTATCATGATCGGCTTCTGCGAAACGGGATGGTTGTGACGGGACAAATTCCACATATTAGTGTGTCTAATACTGGCCGAAACACACTGCGATAAGAAGACTGCTGGCTACAAAGTTGTGCAGGTGTGAGGGCCTCGTGTGGCCAGTTGCCCATTCCTATCATAAAGCAGTTGTGGAGTGGAGTGGAGTGGAATGGAATGGAATGGAATGGAATGGAATGGAATGGAATAGAATACAAAATAGAATGGAATGGAATGGAATAGAAAATGGAATGGAATGGAATAGAATAGAATAGAATAGAAAATGGAATGGGATAGGATAGGATAGGATAGAATAGAATAGAATAGAATAGAATAGAATAGAATAGAATAGAATAGAATAGAATAGAATAGAATAGAATAGCAGAGTCGGAAGGGACCTTGGAGGTCTTCTAGTCCAACCCCTTGCTTAGGCAGGAAACGCTACACCATATTAGTGTGTCTAATACTGGTCCAAACACACTGTGATAAGAAGACTGTTGGCTACAAAGTTGTGCAGGTGTGAGGGCCTCGTGTGGCCAGTTGCCCATTCCTGTCATAAAGCAGTTTTGTATATGGAATGGAATAGAGTGGAGTGGAATGGAATGGAATGGAATGGAATGGAATGGAATAGAATAGAATAGAATAGAATAGAATAGAATAGAATAGTCGGAAGGGACCTTGGAGGTCTTCTAGTCCAACCCCCTGCTTAGGCAGGAAACCCTACACCACTTCCTGTGGGAAGAACAATTTCCCTTTCATATGTCTTGCACATATCAGCCCATTTGAAAAAGATGATGGTTTGGTTACAGGGTAGTCCTCAACTTGCAACCACAATTGAGCCCAAAGTTTATCTTGCTCAGTGAGAAATTTGTTAAGTGAGTTTTGCCCCCATTTTAGGACTTTTATTGCCACCGTTGTTAAGTGAATCACTGCAGTTGTTAAGTTAGTAACACAGTTGTTAAGTGAATCTGGCTTCCCCATTGACTTTGCTGATCAGAAGGTCGCAAAGGGGGATCACATGTCCCCAGAACGCTGTAACCGTCATAAATGTGAGTCAGTTGCCAAGCATCCGAATGTAAATCACATGACCATCGTGATACTGCAACGGTCATAAGTGTGAAAAATGGTCATAAATCACTATTTGCAGTGCCGTTATAACTTCAAACGGTCATTAAGTGAACTGCTGTAATTCAAGGACTACCTGTACAGTCTTTGACAGGTATTCCTTGACTTAACAACCATAACTGAGCTCAGAATTACAGTTGTAAGTCATACCTGTCCTTAAGCTGGTCATCACAAGCGTCACCTGATTTTACAACTTTTTTTTTTCTTAAATGAATTCCGAAGTTGTTAAGTGAACCCATTTGTCTGCAGTGGGCGTTTTTTGCCAGAAACTGCAAATAAATGCCGGTTTCTGATAGAAAACCATCATAAATCAGGGTCATGTGATGTGGGATGCTGCAAACGGCCATAAATGTGCCCAAAATGTGATCATAGGGGAGGGAACTGCCGATCAGAACTTCATATCTGGGTCATAAGTACATTTTTGGGGTCTGTTGCGACTTCAAACAATTGCTTAGCGGCTGGTCATACCTTGAGGACTAGAGACTACACGTAACATTTTTTCCTCCCTGTGTAATTATCCTTTCAGGTACATACATCAATGCTCTCCGCATGTCCCATGGCCAGCGGGTAGATCTGAACGATGGAGACCTTCTGACTTTCGGACATTCCAGCCCGGTGCCCGAGGGTTGCGTGTTGCCGCCGCCGCACGGCAACTCCGAGTTTTATTTCCTCTTCCAGAAAGTCCGTGTTCGGCCGCAAGACTTTGCAGCTATCACCGAACCCAAAGCCCCGTGGGCTTCTTCCTCTGGTTTCCGGCCGGTGTTGCCTTCCGACAACCATCGCATCCATCCCCTATCCCGTCATTCGCCCACCTCCCTCTCGTGCCGCCCCAAAGCCACCCTCATCCTCAGCTCCATCGGCAGCCTTAGCAAGCTGAAACCCCATCCCTTCACTTTCTCTTTGAGTCGGAGCCGATGCACGGATCCTCCCGCCCAGCCGAAACCGTCCCGCAATCGACGTAAGTCGGCTCACACGGTGCTTCCTGAACTTGAGGATGAAATCGCACGTCTGGAAGAGGAACAGCCACCCCCAGATAAGGAGCAGCGCTTGGGAACTTACCGGTGTTGCCCGAGTAGCAATTTGAGGCTCCAGCAAAGAGTGCAGGAAGGGAGCAAAAGCCTCCAGGAAGATATAGAACCAAAGCTTCATATCACACCGAGTGGGTGAGTCCCTTTAAGGCAGGGGTGAAATCCAGCAGGTTCTGACAGGTTCTGGAGAACCGGTAGCGGAAATTTTGAGCAGTTCGGAGAACCGGCAAATACCACCTCTGGCTGGCCCCAGAATGGGGTGGGAATGGAGATTTTGCAGTATCTTTCCCCTGGAGTGGGGTAGGAATGGGGATTTTGCAGTATCCTTCCCGTGGAGTGGGGAGGGAATGGGGCTTTTGCAGTATTCTATCCCTGGAGTGGGAAGGAATGGGGATTTTGCAGTATCCTTTCCCTGGAGTGGGGAGGGAATGGAGATTTTGCAGTATCCTTCCCCTGCCATGCCCACCAAGCCACGGCCCCCGAGCCACACCACGGCCACCAAGCCACGCCCACAGATCCAGTAGTAAAAAAAATTGGATTTCACCACTGCTTTAAGGTCTATGTTATATGCAACATTACTTTTATTAAAGAAGCAAGGTTAAAGACCCCAAGCTTGTCAGCTGGAAAGCTGACAGACTGGGTTCGAGACACTGTTCCTGCAAGGGGTGAGCGTCCATTCCTTGCTCCAGCTCCTGCAACCTAGTAGTTAGAAAGCATGCAAATGGGAGTAGATTCTTCTTTTAAAAAAATACTTGTTTCTGAGAGCCAGTTTGATGTAGTGGTTAAGGCACCAGGCTAGGAACCAGGAAACTGAATTCTAGTCCTGCCTTAGGCAAGAAAGCCAGCTGGGTGACTTTGGGCCAATCACCAGGAGGATATGAGTTCTAGTCCTGCCTTAGGCATGAAAGCTGGCTGAACTTGGGCCAGTCACTCTCTCTGTCAGCCCAATCCACCTCCAAGATGCCTGGCCTGGGAATAGAATGTGAAACTATTTTGAGAAGTGCCCAGCTTCAAAGCATTTCCCAAAACATCAGATAGTGAGGCTATTGGACACTATTGAACTGGTCAAGGGAGGAGGGCCAGGGAAAGGGGAAAATTGTAACCTTTTGTGCGGGAATACTCAGATCTAGCCTTACTTTCGCTGCAACCACTTGCCTTTAGTAAAAGAACCTATCACTTCAACCAAATGGAGTCGAGGGTCTTTCTTTCCTAAGGATCTAAGTTGGGGCAGGTGTGACACTATTTCAGGAATGCGCTTGGGTGATTATGATGCATTAGGTAAAGGTAAAGGTTCCCCTCGCACATATGTGCTAGTCGTTGCCGACTAGGGGGCAGTGCTCATTTCCATTTCAAAGCTGAAGAGCCAGCGCTTTCCAAAGACGTCTCCGTGGTCATGTGGCCGGCATGACTAAACGCCAAAGACGCACGGAACGCTGTTACCTTCCCACCAAAGGTGGTCCCTATTTTTTCTACTTGTATTTTTTTTGCGTGCTTTCGAACTGCTAGGTTGGCAGAAGCTGGGAGAAGTAACGGGAGCTCACCCCGTTACGCGGCACTAGGGATTCGAACCGCTGAACTGCTGACCTTTCGATCAACGAGCTCAGTGTCTTAGCCACTGAGCCACCACGTCCCTTTTTATAATGCATTACAAATGTTTTATCTCTGTTTGGTTCTTTCCAGGAAGCGTCGTGGTCGGCCTCGGAAGAATCCTTTGGGAAGCGCCGGCCAAGTTTTCTCCCAGACTCTTTCTTCCCTGGAGCCATGTGCGGCTCCCCGGTGCCGCCTTCCCCAGGATGAGATGGTGGAGTGGGTCCAGTGCGATGGCTGCGATGCCTGGTACCACGTAGCTTGTGTGGGCTGCAGTTACAGTGTGGTCAAAGAGGCAGATTTTAGATGTGTTGCCTGCCGTTCGTAATGCCAGATAATTCTCCTCAGAAAACAAGTCCCATCAGAGACCGAAAAGAATTTTTTTTAAAAAATAAGATCCCTGATGGACGCATGTGGACTACTGAAAATTTGCACAGGGTAAGCCTTTCTTCAAAGAGAAAGAAGCAGATATTGAATAGGGTGAACTGCGGATTCGTGCAGAGGAAACCTTTGAGCAACCTTTGACACGTAAAAGGAGACAGACTCCTAAAGTTATCAGTCCCGTTTCTTTGGGAATCATTGCCTTGCTGAGAACATGCCAAGGAAGCGTTGGTGGGAATGTATCATGCTGCAAATTGCTACCTGGTGACTCTCTGAAGAAGGTCAGTGAGAGGCCTGGAGATCAATATGGAATAGACCTTCGGTGCAGAGTCCCCCACTCCTGGAATCTTTTCATTTTTGAAATTTTTCAAAACCTTTTTCATTTTTGAAAACATTTTCGTTTTTGAAGCGTGCGGGGAAGAACCATCCGTATGTCAGTTGACTTGCGCAACGAATTCATAAAACAGCCGAATATTGTCAAAGATCAGATTGGCACCAACTTTCTGATCGCACCAAATGGTCTGCTCACCATCAGTGCCTTACAACAGGGAGAAAGAAGGCTGTTGTGTGAACAACCAGCTGCTTCCTGGAGGGGTCAACGGTGGTTCAAAACACAAAAGAAGCAACTTGGGAAGGCAGCTCCAAGAATTGCGTCTCCAGATTTGAGATTTGGGGCTCTTCAAATCTTCACTAAGTTCATATACAGTACGGGACGATTTTTCAAGAACAGGAATTTATTTGAAGGAGTGACACCTTCTTCTCTCTCTCTGTTTGTCAAGCCTTTGGGGTGGGCGAGATGGCAGGTGAAAAAGCAAGCATGGAGTTCAAAGATGAAGAATTAAATGAAAAAAAAACAACAACGATAACCCACGAGTTCTAAATTCCAGACAGATGAACGGGGGCTTGTATTCGAATTGATGAAGCCAGGGCTGGTACCGTTCACCATCTGCTTTGTCCGTATTTAAAGCGCGTATGTTTGCTTGACTGTTACACCAAAAGCAACTAGGAAGGAAATATTTTCCATCCTCTTCACTTTTCACCCTTTTGTTTTCGCCTCCCAAAACCGGGCTGTGAGACTAGTGGGGGGAAAAGAAGGGGAGGATTTTTTACTTTTTTTAGCAATCGCTTTTTGACTTTTAAAAAAAAGCTTCTTGCACTTTATATGCAAATAAGGCAGACACATGATTGAGTGCTCCTTCTGATTTAACTTAGTCCCTCTTTAAAAGAAGCAGTCTGGCCCAGTATTTCTCAACCTCGACAGGTTTAAGATATGCGGACTTCCATTCCCAGAATTCCCCAGCCAGCCATGCTGGCTGGGGAATTCTGGGAATGGAAGTCCGCATATCTTAAACCTGCCAAAGTTGAGAAATACTTGTGGCATCTTATGAAGGCAAATGTGTTGCTTTGTTGGTCTCAGAAGGTTCCTACAGCATTATCCTCAGTCTCCATTGTGTATATTTGTAGATGGAGAGTGAAGCTACTCTAGAAAAAGGTAAATGGCAAGTCTGGTAGTCTTCAAGGGAGACCAAATCCATATGGGGGGGGGTGTCTATGACAATTCGGCACAGCCAACTCAACTGCAAGACAACTCATCACCGCCATCTCGCCACAGGACAACTCGGTACAGGACAAGAGTTACACTAATATCAAAAGAAATGGTGGAATAGAATCTATTAAAGAAAGGCTGCAAAAGGAGGGAGAGAGTGAAATGTGAGTGGCAAAAATTAAAAGGAACTTTTATTTCTTTTAAACAATTAAGTAGAATTGTTAAATTGCCCTGCAGCGAGTTGTCCCATTCCCTCCTGTATGCCCTCCCGGATCAAATGATCCCACAGAACCTCTTCTAACCAAGATGGCAAACCACCTATCCGGCTGCAAAAGCTTACTGTGTTTCCCCGAAAATATGATCCTGTCTTATATATATATTTTTTTTTGAACCCTGAAATAAGCGCTTGGGCCTTACTGCCATGTGCTCAAAAGCCCGATTGGGCTTATTATCAGGGGATGTCTTATTTTGGGGGAAACAGGGTATACGCGCATAAGTTTGTTTAGCAGTGTTTTTTTCTTTGTCTAAGGCAGGGGTGTCAAACTCGATTTCATCGAGGGCTGCATCAGGGTTGTGTTTGACTTTGGGGGACCGGGTTGGGTGTGGCCAGCATGATATCACTCGTGTCGGGGCGCCTGTGGTGGCTCAAGCACTCTGCCAGCAAAAATGGGCTCCTGAGCTCCGTTTTTGGCTGTGACAGTCTCCTGCACCCGTTTGTCAGAGAAAACGGAGCTTGCGAGGGCCGCCTCCATTTTCCCTGACAGAGACACCGTGGGCTGATCCCTTGCTGTTTCCAGGACAGCCCCGCGGGCCGGATCTAAGCATCCTGCGGACTGGATCCAGCCCCTGGACATGAGTTTGACACCCCTGGTCCTTTGCACCTGATAAAGGGGGTGAGTTGGTGGGTTTTTAAAAAAATCTTTCTCGAGAATGCTCGGTAGCCTTGATTTCTAGCATAGAAACTGAAACCCTTTTTAAAAAAAATCTGTAAAGCCTGTAAAGCAGCATGGTTTAGGTTTTCCTAAGAAATACCCAGATGTGTGCAGATGTGTATGCAGAAGGCATCCCAGCTAGATAAGGCACTTCGCTTAATTGAAAGCTGGGGAGATGCCATTCTCATTCTACTATGTATTTAGCTGTAGATCAGTGCCAAACAATGGGGGATCTGCTTGTCTAGACCAGGGGTCTCCAACCTTGGCAACTTTAAGCCTGGTGGATTTCAATTCCCAGAATTCCCCAGCCAGGAATTCTGGGAGTTGAAGTCCACCAGGCTTTAAAATTGCCAAGATTGGAGATCCCTGGTCTAGATGTTGAACAGTAGATCCCAGCCTCCCTCGGTGATAACATCTGGGGGCTACACAACTGGAACGGACTGTATCTTCCAGTTTAGGAGGGAAGAAGGGGGTCAAGCCACAGAATGAAGAATCTTCAACCTGGGGAAATGCTAGAAACAGGCTCCATCTTTTCACGGAAATGGTTTCAAATGTCTAATACAAGCCTTCTGCTAGCAAAAGAAATAAACAGGAGATCAAAAAAATGGAACCCCTCTCGAAAAAAGGATATTTGCCGTAAACCATGGGATCTGCCTTGTTTTCTCAAGATGCGTCAACTTAAAGCACTTTGCAGTTAAGGCAATTCTTAACTTCAATCCCGTTTCTGTTCATCCCGGCTTCACTTATCCGACTTCTCAGCAGCATGTTTGCTCGGCTTTGCCGCCTCTACCGACTCAATCGGGGGGAAAATCTGCTTTTTAATGCGCCAAATTGAAAAAAATAAGCTACTCCTTACAGGGAAACTGCTCCCACAGAAGCCAACAAGAAAATCAACCAAAGACTTCTGTAGTTTAGGAAAGAGGCATTCGTGTTTTTTTTATTCTTGTGCACTTAGCAAGGTCGTTTTTGTCTTTTTAGGGGGAAGGAAGGAAGGGTATCCTTTTCCTGTAAAAAAAAATGTTTCTCATCTTGCAACAGGCTTGATTTTAACTTTGAAATAAACCTAAACTGCAAACTTAATAGCTGCATAAATGTGATAAGACGGAACGAGATGTGTTCAAACTAAATTACAGTAGTGGCCAAAATTGTGGAAACCTTTTGGGACAAGTATATTTTTTACAACACAACTTTTATTTGGAGTAATACCATAAAATTATATATCAATGGAAAGATAATTTAATCAAGAATGTAATGCAATAACTTTTTATGAAGGATTTGCTATTAGAATAGCAGTTATAGTATAAAGAAGAAAAGTGGAACACGTAGAAAAAACGAGATATACAAAAATGATCACGTCAGTTAATAGTTGGGTAACCTTTAGCATGAATTAGCCTTACAACGTCTTCCCATGGAGTGAACCAAGTCTTTTAGTTCTGCAGCTGATATAATGTGAAACCAAGATTTAATGATCGCTTCTATTAGCTGGGTTTTATTGCTGGCTCACTTCTGACTAACAAGTTTCTTTAGCTGGCTCCATAGATTTCCAATTGGGTTAAAGGCTGGGCTATTCCCAGGCCGTTCCAGCAGTGGAATATGATTATCTTGAAACTCCAAAAACAAAGTGGTGTTATTAGCCATCAAACCTCAAAAATACATTTTTCCCAAAAGGTTTCCACAATTTTTTTTTTTTTAATTTGATTTATATGCCGCCCTTCTCCAAAGACTCAGGGCGGCTTACAATGTACTCAGCAATAGCCTTCATCCTTTTGTATATTTATACAAAGTCAGCTTATTGCCCCCACAAACTGGGTCCTCATTTCACCTACCTTAGAAAGGATGGAAGGCTGAGTCAACCTTGAGCCTTGGCGAGATTCGAACCCTGCAGTAATTGCAGGCAGCTGGTCTTAATAAGCTTAATAACAGGGTGCCTTAAACCCCTGTACTACCAAGGCTCAATTACTGTGTCTTTCCTTGAAAACGATCTTATGGCAGGAGAATGGCGGGTTTCACCTGTTGAAAGAACGCTTAATGTTGTCACTGCGATCTCAGACATTACTATTAGAAGAAATATCCTTCTGGGTTCAGCTCCAAGTGGGGGAAAAAGACACTGGAAACATGGAGACTGCTTGGAAAGATGGTTTAATGGTGGACAGGATCACATGGTTCGAATTCCTGAACAGAAAAGATGCTGTGAGTCCCCGGGTTTTATGCCCTCTCTGGCTTTGAACTTCCTGGGACCCCGAAAGAGTATCCTGATTGGTTGTCAGACTCCCAGGGGGTGGGGGTCTTAGCTAGCCTGGCTGGCTGATGTAATCTTCCCAGATGCCATGTGGTGAGTTTCTGTTGCTGGATGGGTCCTATTGTGTTAGTTTCTGTTGCTAGATGGGTCCTATTGTGTTGCAGATGATGGTCCATTGACAAAGATGGGGGTGGGAATTGAGTTTCTGCCTCTCTGAGTTTCTACTTCTCTTTTAGGGAAAACATTTTGCCTTTTTAGTATTTCCTAAAGTATTTCATTTTTTTAGGAGAGGGGTGAGTGCTAACTTCCTACATTACAAAGTTCAGAAATTTACCAATAGTCCTTGACATACGACCACAATTGAGCCCAAAATTTCTGCTGCTAAGTGTGACAATTTGTTAAGGGAATGTTGCCTCCATTTTACGATCTTTCTTGTCCCATTTGTCAACTCAATTACTGCAGTCGTTAAGGGAATAACACGGTTGTGAAAGGAATCGGGCTTCCCCATTGATTTTGCTTGTCAGAAGGTCGCAAAAGGGGATCACATGACCATGGGACACTGCAATCGCAATAATTAGGAGTCCGTTGCCGACCATCTGAGTTCTGATCACATGACCATGGGGATGCTGCAACGGTCATAAGTGTGAGAAATGGTCCTAAGTCACTTTTTTCAGTGCCGTTGTAACTTTGGACGGTCACTAAACAAACTTGTAAGTTTATTTATTTATTTATTTGTTCAACTTGTATGTCGCCTTTCTCCGAAGACTCAAGGCGGCTTACAATGCATTTAAAAACCATATATAAAAACATTAAAAATTAAAACATTAAAAACAATTAAAACCCATTCACACCATTCATGGCCGGATCTCGCCAGATCGCAACAGCGAGATCAACGGCCCGAGGCCTGCCGGAAAAGCATACTACCTGTATGCATGTCCCAGGATAATGTTACAGTATCCCATCTGGGTTAGTCACCGGGACCAGTGGTCTAGATGTTGAACAGTAGGTCCTAGCCTCCCTCGGCGATAACATCTGGGGGCTACACATCTGGTATCTTCCAGTTTAGGAGGGAAGAAGGGGGTCAAGCCACAGAATGAAGAATCTGTCCTGCAACCTTCTGCCAATGAAATTGGAGTTCCAGGAGGCCGCATGCGGCCTGCCCAGTCTCCATTTTCGGTCGTGATGGCCTCCTGGAGCCCTCTGCCAGTGAAAACGGAGCTCCAGGAGGCTGTCGCGGCCAAAAATGGAGCCTCAATGAGTGATGTCGAGCTGGCCACACCCTCCTCCCCCAAGGTTAAACACAACCCTGATGCAGCCCTCAATGAAATCGAGTTTGGCGCCCCTCAACTAAGCCATTTGAAGTAGTATGATGTGCAAAGTAATCCATAGGCCATGAAAACAAATAAAAGATATTTGAGTGGTTTAATTGTGGCCAACGCATTATTGTCAACCTTGATACAAAGATGCTCCTGATTTTTTCAAAGAAATCACCTTCACGCCTACTTTAATCAGCAATTTTTTTTAATAGAGGCCTCTTATGTCATGCAAACAATTGAGCAAATTAGGAAAAAAATCAAAAATACAAAGATAAATCATACGAGTTTATGATTAAAATAACACAACCACCAACATTCTTCTCCCATGGCCAGATACAATCGTAACATTATGAAAGACAAATGAGGAACGGGGTATGACATTCAATATTTATAGCTAGCTTCCTTTCCATGTTTGATTTTGATGTGCTGGCCCGTTTTTGAATTTGTAGCAGGGCAGGGAAGGAAAAATGGGACATCTGGTCCTTTGAAAGAATATCCTGCTCAAAATATATCTCATACCATGCGTCGTCGTGTCTTTAAAAGATGATGGACTTCAGAGATGGGTATCCAGCCTCTTGTGTGTACTTAGGGAGAAAAGGGCATCGTCTTAAAATCTGATTTTTGAGGACTGTAATGGCAGTCAAGGCCAAAAGGAGAATGTTTCTGGGGACACCACTAAGATCTCTCCATCTTGGGGTGGTGGGATGGACGAAGAACGAAACCAAGATTTCAGTAACCTTTTAAAGACTTTTCTTGGTTGGATCAGAGCCATTCGGACACAAGAATGCTTTGACATAGGTCACCCCTCAAAGAAATTTTATATTAAATGATAGGATGGGGAGGGAGAGAAAAAAAGAGGGGGAAAAATGAAAACCCAAGTCCTTTCTACCTGCAGGGGAGTTTGCGTCCCACAAAGAAAAACGACATCGCTGTGTGATATGTTGAAGTTCACCAAGACATTCACCTCAAAATCACTTGGCTTTGTGTTGGATAGTTACGAGAACAAAGCCCATTTTTAAGCCTTTATAAGCCATACCGTCTCATTATTAAAAGTGGGAATGATACCCAATTATGTCCCCCAAAATCTGCTTGGTCCTTTAAGGGAAAAAAGCATCTGGATTTGGGGGTGGGTAAATATGGATGCATGCCAAACTAAATAAAGACCAGCTATTATGGATCCTATGAGAGACCAAAAAACGGTTGGAAATGAAAGCGGCTTTTAGAAGCAGCTTTTCCCTTTCTCAATATATATATGAATTAAAAAAATCATTGGCAAAAATCTTTTTTTAAACCCTGATTAGAAAAAAGCCTTACCAAGAAACTTTGTACCCCTGAGTGTAACAGGTGGCCAAAAGCCTAAGCTTTGAGCCCTTCCTTTCCCTAAAGGAAAACAAATCTAAGAAACAGGAAAAGAAAATGGCCGGAGGACCTCCCCGAGATTAAAAATGAAGACAAGAGATTTGCTAGACAGGCTGCTCAGGTGGAATGCATCGGGTGGCCCATCACAGCCGAGGTCGAGGCCGGAGCGATAAAAACTTCTCCTTCGTGGAACTGGGGCACGTAAACAGCAGCAAAGGCAGCCGTGTTGTAGCCCTGGGGAGGTGGAGGCAGCTGGGGATGGACGGTGCCAAGACCGTGGGGCGGAGCTTGGAGTGGCCCATGAGGACAAGCTTGAGGTAGAATAGGACCATCGGACTCATCCCGAGACCCAGCTCCTGGGTTGCGCTTGCCCTTCTGACGGCGGTTGCAAAACCAGACGCGTACTACCTACAAGAGACAAAAGCACATGTAAGTTATAGCACAAGCACTTATATACTGCCCCATAGCGTTTTACAGCACTCACTGGGGGCGGGTTTTTTGTTTTTTGTTTTTAAACAATGTCAGCATATTGTTCTGAACATTCTGGGTCCTCATTTTACCGACCTCGGAAGGATGGAAGGCTGAGTCAACCTTGAGCTGGTCAGGATCGAACTCCTGGCTGTGGGCAGAGTTTGCCTGCAATACTGTGTTCTAACCAAGGTGCCACCATGGCTTAGGGTCAAGCCGATATGGTGAGGGACAGGTCACTGTGCTAATGCTCTCCACAATGCAGTGGTGGGTTGCCCCCGGTTCGGACCGGTTCGTAAGAACTGGTAGTAAAACTGGCGGGAGGCTCCGCCCACCAACCCTGACGTCATCGGGAAGCGAGCACATACACGTGGCCCCGTTTCGAACCAGTAGTAAAAGGTAAGTAAAACCCACCCCTGCCACAATGGCCTTCTCTCCATAGCTCCTTGCACAGCCCATCCTCTAGAAGGGCTCTACATGGGCTGCCCTTGAATGTTGCAACAGCAGAAGAAACTGAAGTCCACATCAAAATACGAAACATTTCATTAATTAAGTATCTTGTGCCAGCAGAGTCAGTGTTTAATTTTAATTTTGAATTAGTGTAATGCCAGCATATATGTGTTCATTAGTTGTAGCCACTCTTAGAATATTGTGGACAGTCAAGTAAACTCCTAAATAATTGGCCATCAGAGCTGGAAAAGAGTGCAGAAAGGGGCAAACAATGCAATCCAGAGATCACATCTTGTTTCATTTAATCCGTAGGACTTCCCTTATGTGTAGAGTTCAGGTAGTCCTCAATTTATGACCGCAATGGAGGCTGTAAAGCAAGTCACCCTGTGACAATTGATTTCACAACTTTTTTTGCAGCGGTCATTGAAAGCCATGGTCATTAAATGAACTTGTTTGCTACGGGGCCGGTTTTGCTGGAAATCAGAGGTCAGTGCTAGTTCCTTGGGAAAACGTAAGATCGCAAGGTGCTGTAAATTTGGGTCAATTGCCAAGTGCCCAAAATGGGGTCATAGGCCCATAGGGGTTGAAGATGGGTGTTGGGACTTCACACCTGGGTCACAAGTCCCTTTGTTGGGGGTCTGTCATAATCGTCCCAAAGGTGCTTTTTTCAAGAGGCAACTGGACTTTTTTTTCTTTGAAGACATTTCGCTTCTCATCCAAGAAGCTTCTTCAGCTCTTACTGGATGATAGATCTTTCTATTCCCCTCCATCCAGTCAGAGCTGAAGAAGCTTCTTGGATGAGAAGCAAAACGTCTTCAAAGAAAAAAAAGCCCAGAAAGTCCAGTTGCCTCTTGAAAAAAAGCACCTTTGGGACAACCATGACTTGGATGACTAAGAACCTCCATAGATATCGGTCTGTCGTAATGTTAAATCGACTGGTTGTAAATCAAGGACCACCTGTAGATGCCTCACAACATAAGCAAGAAGATTCATTTGTCCCTAGATCTTCCTTAGGATCTGGCTGACTATTATCGGACAGCTGATGCTAGGCTATATGGAACCTGAACTGATCCATCAGGATTGCTCTTATATTCTTAGAACAGAAGAAGCTTCTTGGATGAGAAGCTAAATATTTTCAAAGGAAAAAAAATCAAGCAAGTGCAGTTGCCTTTTTTGGAAAAAGCATCGTTGGGACAACCATGACCTGGATGACTGAGAATCTCTATAGACGTGTTCTTACAACAAATATTATGAGTAGAGGTTGCTGTCAATTTTATGTATTTCCAGAGGCAACTCAATAAAGTTGTATGATGGGATGAGCTTTAGGCTCATCACCATAACTTTAAGATCCAGAAGCAGGAATTCCAACTTAATATACTGCTCAAAAAAATAAAGGGAACACAAGCAGAAGACATCCGAGATCTGAATGAATGCAATAGCCTTATTAAATACTTTGTTCTTTACCTACAGTAGTTTATACACTGCTCAAACAACTAAAAGGAACACAAAACTACTGTATGTAACGTATGTACTGTATGTAAAAAAATAACAATAAACAATGGCCAGCAGGGGGGAAATATTTTCTGCAACTAAATAAAATTTAGTCATCCTGGGTGAGAATTATAGAAATGATAGTTCAATACATTTTGCTACCACCAAGTTGAAAAAGAGTGCCTACAATCAGGTGTAATGGAACTGCAATTCAACAGGCACGCCTTTTTTTCAAGTTAAAGTGGTAGGGTTATTATGGCAACCATAGGGTTGTTATGTCACTTTTCCAGATTGACAGGTAGAGTGTTCTGAAAGAAAATACATGTTTTGGCATTGAGTTTTGACAATCTGCTAGAACCGTGATGGCAAACCTATGGCATGCGAGCCGTTGCCCAGCTCAGCTCTACCGCGCATGCGTGGCTCCCGCTGGCCAGCTGATTTTTAGGATGGGGGGCAGGGCGCATGCGGGAGATGTGTGTGCATACACAGGGGGGCTGCGTGCGCATGCGGGGTGAGTGCGGGGGAGCTCCCCCCTGCAGCCCGTTTTTGGTCCCAGGAGGCTGCAGGTGTTTCAAGTAGTTTTAATCAAAATGCAGTTAAAACGCTATACAAGCCATTGAAAATATAAATATATATATACACAACAGGAACAGGAAGTGCCTCACAGGATCAAATAGAGGTAAATCCTAGAGAGGCAGGAAAGGCATCACAAAACAATGGAGATGAATGCTAAAGAGGAATAAAGCTGCATACAAGGCAGATATAACTGTAACAGCAGGGAGGCCTACTAGGCCCGGGGTGGGGGTGTCATGCGCGGGTGGGGGAGCGGGGGGGTTGTGTGCGCATGCACAGGGGAGAGTGGGAGGGGTCATGTGCATGCACGGGGGGGCGCATTGCATTATAGGTGCCGGCACGCATGCGTGCTATCACGTGCGTGCGTGTGTGCTTTCGGCACATGACAACAAAAAGGTTAGCCATCACTGTGCTAGAACATCTTTGTTTTGTTGGTTCTGCGAGAAGCATTCTGTTTGCTTACTTTTATCCTGAAAAAGTAATTTGTGCAGAATATTGTCTATCACCCAATTAAAGATCATCTTCTAAATCAAATTTTTCTCTAAATTAGATGGCTGAAAGTACCCAGAATGGACTATCAGTCTTATCTTCTTTTTTGGCCCCAGGACATAAAAATAATTTTAATTTCCCATTGTTTGCTAAGGCAAAAAAATAAATAAGTATTTTGTTCTTTTGGAATGCAACACACACAAAACTGTCAATTGGCAACTATCACCATGTCTGATGGCAATGACTTTCCCAATTTAACTCTGGGTGGCGACATGCTTCTAACTCTCTCTGCAATTCCTTTCTAAAGGATGATCCTGACCCTTCCCTAACAACACAATCTGACCCTGGAAAGCTAGGATTTCATGCACCGAAATGGTGGCTGCTTTGGGGAAATGCAATAAGACGGGGGTCACTCACATCCTTCTCCAGGCAGAGGTCATCAGCAATCTGTGATATCTCCTGCAGGTTAGGCTTGGGGCAGCGCAGAAAGTACGACTCGAGTGAACCCCGCACGTTGTTCTCAATGCTGGTGCGCTTGCGTTTCCGAGCCTGGATCATGGCCGACTCCATGGAGCACAGTTGCTGCACAGAGGACGAGAGCTATGTTTGGAGTCACTGCTTGGAGGTCACAACCCCTTCTGACCCACCCAATAAGAAAGTCCCTTCTCCACCTCTGCTTAAAGTTATCACAGCCATAGAGGGAGCAAAAAAATAGCTTCAGGTGTCACGAACGAAGGCGAATATACGTGTCCCAGGATAATGTTGCAGGATCCAATCTGGGTCAGTCACCGGGACCAGCAGTTTTGTCTTCCTGAGTTTTTGGACTCGTGCTGGAGCCCATCGCAAAACCGCTGGTCCTGGTGACCGACCCAGATTGGATCCCGCTTCAGATCTCTCCAGCATCTGCTACTTACAAGGTTAAGCAATCTATGCTGTGATAAGTCCCATTGCAACAGTCTAAATGTCTCCCTTGGGTACCTTTTGGTCTTTCTCTATCCTTGTCATTTCTGCATAGAGGTAATATTCGACTTACGATCACAATTGAATTTCAGCATTTCTGTCGCTAAGCAATCACACTGGATTTTATATCCTTTTTTCGCCATGGTTATTAAGTGCAAGGCTGCCGATTCACTGTTAAGTGAATCTGGTTTCCCTTGTTAACTTTGCTTTCAGAAGTCAGGTGGGAAGGCCGCAAATGGCGATCACATGACTCAAGGATGTTGCCACCATCATAAACGCATGATGATTGCTCATGTCTGAATTTTGATCATGTGACCATGGGGATGCTGAGATGGTTTTAAGTCACTTTTTTCAATGCCGTTGTAACTTTGGTCACTAAATGAATGGTTGTAAGTCAAGGCCTACCTATCCTAGCACCCTAACATTATCCATTCCCCCATTCAAACCTGCTGCCCTCTCCTCCATTTTGTAAAGCCCTCCCTTTGACCCATGTTTCAATGAGTGACATATCCAAATTGGATATTCCTTTTTCCTCCAAACCTATGAAGCTTTCTAGTCCCCAATTTCCTCTACCCTCTCCATCTTTGCATCCCCCTCCTCCCAAAATCAAGCTAAAGGAGCATCTCTGCTAAATTAAGTCCACCAGATACATTTAGAAAGCTCAAAAGCCAACAAAGGCTGTTTATTTTCCTGTTCTATTGTTAATCAACCAGCTGTTATTTAAAGTCAGATATCTATGATTCAGGAAGAGTAAACAACCACAAAGTAGTCACCATGGATAATCTGGATTTACTTGAAATTGTCTAGTCTGCTTTCAAATTTATCTAAATTGGCAACTATCACCATGTCTGATGGCAGCGACTTTTGCTATTTAACTCTGGGTGGTGACATGCTTCTGAACCCTTCTGGAATTCCTTTCTAAAGGATGATCCTGACCCTTTCCTAACAAAGGAATATCCATGACATGTTCACACCTTTTTCCAGCTCTACAATATACTTTTTGAGATCTCAAACTTGATGCAATATTCCAGGAGTAATCTTTCCATTCAGTGATCTTTCCATTCTCAGTGATTCCAAGCATAGCATGTCCTCTTTTAAAGCAGCAAACTGTGAGTTAACATGTCATTCACCACGATCCACAAATCATGGCCCTCTCAAGTCCCAATATTGGACATGCAAGCTGGATTTTTCGTGCCGGTGTGCATCAAGTTGCATTTACATGTATTAAACCACATTTTCTTCTCTGAAGTCCATTCACCAGCTTGGAAAAATCCTTATGGGATTTTCTGTACTCTCATTTAGATTTTACTATCCTGGATAGTGTCTAATAATGTCAACAAATGTGGTCTCCTTATCTTACTATTCAGCTGAAGATATAGAAACTATTTAAAAAGCAACTGATCCGTGAAGGACTCTTTTTGAATATTTCTCTAATTTGAAAAGGGTTCATTTTTATTCTTCTGTTTTTCTAGACAGCATCTCCCTTTTATCGAATGTCGGCTGAATTTTGATTACAAACTTTATAGGAGAGAAATGTCAAAAGCTTTTTGAAAACGCAGGTATGCTGTCTACTAAATTACCCCATCTGCATTTTTGCTGACATCCTAAAAAGAAAAGTTAATGAGATAAAACTTTGAGGGAGGCATGCTAGTTCCTTTTCAGCAAGATTTGTTCTGAATGTTGAAATTATTTCCTCTTTAATATTTTCAACATTTTATCCAGAATGAACATAAAACTGGTTTTTAATTAATCGATTAGGCCAGGGGTCTGCAACCTTAAATACTCAAAGAGCTATTTGGACCCATTTCCCACAGAAAAGAAAACAAGAGAGAGGGAGGAAGGGAGAAACAAAGGAAGGAAGGAAGGAAAAGAGAGAAAGGGAAAGAAAGAAAAGGGAGGGAGGGAGAGAAAGAGAGGGGGAAAGAAAGGAAGGAAGAGGAGAAAGCGAGAGGGAAAGAAAGAAAGAAAGAAAGAAAGAAAGAAAGAAAGAAAGAAAGAAAGAAAGAAAGAAAGAAAAAAAGAAAGAAAGAAAGGAAGGAAGGAAGAAAGGAAGGAAGGCATGACCAACTCGATGTCACTCACTTCCACCAGGCACATGAACACCCCCCCACCCCCCAGCTATGCCTACCCAGCCGGTCATTAGGGCAGAGAACCAGTTGTTAAAAAACACTGGGAACCACAAAATTCTTTTGACATATCTCTCTCTCCCCCCCTCCCTCCCTCCTTCTCTCCCCCCCCCTGTATCTCTTTCTGTCTCTCTCTCTCCCTCCCTCTCTCTCTCTCTCTCTCGCTGTCTCTGCCCTGGCCGCTTCTCCATCCCCTGGCCACTTCTCCATCACCCTTACCTTCTCAGGCCAGGCGAGGAGTGACTGGGAGGGGAGGGCGAAGGGCGGGGCCAGCCAGTGGTGGGATCACCTGACAGGGAGCCACAGCAGAGGGCCCAAAGAGCCACATGTGGCTCCGGAGCCACAGGTTGCTGATCCCTGGATTAGGCTCTTCATTTCATCTCTATCTCAGTTAATCTGATTTCCTTCTTGAGAAAGCTAATTCAAGGATGTTCTACATCTTCAAAAATGAAGACAAGAATAAATATCTTATTTGGTTTCTCTATAATTTTCTCTCTCCTCTTTTAGCGCACCTTCAAATTCCGTCATGACTTACTGTTCCCTTCCCTTTCCACAATATGCAGAGGTTTTTTTATTGGTCATTGTGTCTCTTTGAGTTGAATTGTTTTGCAACTTTTATGAAATACTTAGCATATTTTTTTCCTATTCCAGTTTGGGTTAATTAAAAAAAGTGTAGATTTGAATGCTGTGGTAGCATAATTAGAGAACATTCAACTGATGGTTACTAAGGAATTAATGAACACAATTAAGAGAGTTTCAGATCGAAAGATTGATCATCCCCTCCTATAGAACCATTCAGGTCCCAGTGAATGAATGAATGAAGGAATGAAGGAATGAATGAAATATATCTGCAGAAATACTGAATGGAGGAAGCTGATCCGTATATAACCAAACTGTATCTTCGCTGAGCAATATAGCAAAAATCCATCCAATTTCCTTTGCCACTGCAACTAAAATTCAGGCGCTGCAATTTTTTCACCAGCCTGCTCTTCCCATGCTTAGAACATAGAATCATAGAACTGGAAGGGATCTGGGAGGTCTTCTAGTCTAACCCCACTCCTAGAGCAAGAGACCCTATCCATTCTAGACAAATGGCTATCCAGTCTCTTCTTAAAAGCCTCCAGTGATGGAGCATCCACAACTTCTGAAGGCAAGCTATTCTATTGTTCTCACTATTAGGAAATTTCTCTTTATTTCTAGCTTGCTTCTCTCCCTGGTTAGTTTCCAACCATTGTTTCTTGCCTTGCCTTTTGGTGCTTTGGAAAATAATTTGACCCTTCGTACAAAGGGTGCCTTCGAGACAGACTTCTGCCACCAATAGCCTCCCACCGGTCAGTTCGCTCCCACAGAGAGGGTCTCCTCAGGATGCCATCGGCCAAGTTATGTCGGCTGGTGACACCCAGGGGGAGGGCCTTCTCTGTGGGAGCCCCAGCCCTGTGGAATGAACTGCCCCCGGAAGTGCGTAAGATCTCCGACCTCCGGGTATTTCGCTGTGCCCTCAAGACCCTGTTGTTCCGCCAGGCCAGGCTATCAACATAATAATTTTAAATTGGGTGTTTTAAATTGAGCCGAATTATTTAATAATTTTAAATTATTTTAATTGATGTTTGTCTTGTGCTTTTAATAGGCTGTACACCGCCCTGAGTCCTTCAGGAGAAGGGCGGTATAGAAATAAAATTATTCTATTCTATTATTCTATTTGTAGGAGCCCCTCAGATATTGGAACCCTGCTATCATGTCTCCCCTAGTCCTTCTTTTCATTAAACTAGACACAGCCGGTTCCTGCAACCGTTCTTCATATGTTTTAGCCTCCAGCCCTCTAATCATTTGTGTTGCTCTTCTCTGCACTCTTTCCAGCATCTCAACATCTTTTTTTTATATTGTGGTGACAAGAACAGGATGTAGTATTCCAAATGTAATCCTACTTGTGGTTGTCTTACAAATGGTTGCCCAGTCTATTTTGGAAAACTTCCAGTGATGGGAGCACCCACAACTCTTTTCATATTCCATCGATTACAGTAATTCATTTTATCACTCCCAAGGCAAAACCCTCCCACAAAAGGTATCCACCAAGGATGGGTAACGTGCATCAGTCTGAGAAAATGGTGGGTTTTGCAACAGTGATGAATATCTGTAGCTTGGGTGTAGGATGAGGGTGAAGGTTCGTTCTCCGAGATTGTGGGTTGGTTTCTGAACGTTTCGTTACCAGGCTAGGTAACATCTTCAGTGGACATACCCAGGGGTGGGGTTCAAAAAATTTGGCAAGGGGTTTTCTGCCTGGTTGCTGGGTGGGCGTGGCCATGGAGGCCTCCTGCACCACGGTGGTGGTGGGGGGGCATTTTTTCCCTCCCTGGGCTCTGGAGGCTTTTCTTGAGCCTCCGGGAGGGCAAAAATGGCCTCCCCAGGCTCCGGAGACCCTCTGGAGGCCAGAAATGGGCTCGTTTCTGGACTTCCCAAACTTCTGGTAGGCCCAGTTTTTGCCCTCCCCAAGGCTCCGCGCACACCCTGCACTTACCTGCATCCAAAACAGGCCACGTGGGGACTCCTGGGAGGGGAGGGGAGGGGTGAGGTGGCCAAGGCCAGCCAGGAATGGGATTTGGGGGTTCTCCGAACTGCACAGAATCTTAAGCTAGAGGTTCTCCTGAACCCCTGAGAATCCCCAGCAGCCCACCCCTGGACATACCGTAACCGGAAGTCCTTATAAACAGAGGAACACTGACACCGACTCCGCTGAAGATGTTACCTAGCCTGGTAATAAAACGTTCTGAAACCAGCCCACAGGCTCAGAGAATGAACCTTCACCCTCAAGGTAATATGTATTCCTGCTTTTCTTTGGAGTCAATCTTACCTACCGTTCAGGAGATGCACCGAAAAAAATTCCAATGAGCAGATCCTTTGAAATAGCAATTTTTTTGGGGGGTGATATTCTGGACCACCCCAATTCTGAATGGTGCTCTTTTCGTTTCAAACATTAAACAAAACCCTTTAAATTTTATCCTCCTTGGGAAAGAGGCAGGCTGACATTTACCTAGAACTCTCAGCAAAGTGCCATTATTAATAATTATTGGTAACGATTAATAAAACTTAGCCTCCCAAATGAAGAATCCATTCAGGTCCTGGAGACAGGATAGCCATTCCTCCGTCCTAGAAACTCACCTCCTGCAAATTCTCGTTACTGTCAGCCTCTTGAAGCCAACGCTGAAGAAGGGGCTTCAGCTTACACATGTTCTTGAAGCTGAGTTGCAAAGCTTCGAAGCGGCAGATGGTGGTTTGACTAAACATCTTCCCTGCTTAAGGAAGTGGGGGAAAAAAACAGATCGATATTTAGAAGAGGAATCTAGTACAAAGGTCTCCAACCTTGGCAACTTTAAGACTTGTGGACTTCAACTCCCAGAATTCCTTAGCCAGCAAAACTTTGCTGGCTGAACTTCGCTGGCTGAGGAATTCTGGGAATTGAAGTCCGCAAGTTTTAAAGTTGCCAAGTTGGAGTTGGCAGCTTGTTGGAGACCTCTGATTTAGTAGGTCAGATGTCGATCCTATAGATAACAGAACTCAATCTCAGTCTCATTGACTTCAAGGGGCTTTTTGTAAAGCATTCATGCTTTGTAGTAACTAAAGAAAAATAGGGAATATTCAATATTGTTGGCAACTACTTTGCTAATAATTCAAGTGTTGGAAGAATTTTTGAAAGCTGTCTAAGGCAACTTCTTGCCCAGTGTTTTCCATACTTTTTAGATTCAAATGCACAATTGTTTTCAGTAGAAAACCAAATGAAATTAGACGATCTACTTCACATTAAAGAAAGAGAGAGAGAGAGAGAAAGAGAGAGAGAGGGAGGGAGGGAGGGAGGAAGGAAGGAAAAGAGAGAGGGGGGAAAGGAAGGAAGGAAGGAATGAGAAGAGAGAAAGAGGGAAAGAAAGAAAGAGAGAGAGAGAAAGAGAGAGGGAGGAAGGGAAGAAGGAAGGAAGGAAGGAAAAGAGAAAGAGAGGGGAAGAAAGAAAAGAAGGGAGGGGGGAGGGAGAGAAAGAGAGGGGGAAAGAAATCAAGGAAGGAAAGAAGAAAAAGAAAGAAAGAAAGAAAGAAAGGAAGGAAGAAAGAAAGAAAGAAAGAAAGAAAGAAAGAAAGAAAGAAAGAAAGAAAGAAAGAAAGAAAGAAAGAAAGAAAGAAAGAAAGAAAGAAAGAAAGAAATTGACTGATTGATTCCAGGTCATAGAAAAATTTCTACAACATAAGTAGACAGTGAGAAATGCCTCTGAAAGTGTTACAAGATTTAATTGATCGGATTAATCAATACACTTAAAAATGTTGTTGTTAGTTGTGAAGTCGTGTCTGACCCATCGGGACCCCATGGACAACTTTCCTCCAGGCCTTCCTGTCCTCTACCATCCCCCGGAGACCATTTAAGCTCATGCCTACTGCTTCAGTGACTCCATCCAGCCACCTCATTCTCTGTCGTCCCCTTCTTCTTTTGCCCTCAATCTTTCCCAGCATTAGGCTCTTCTCCAGTGAGTCCTTCCTTCTCATTAGGTGGCCAAAGTATTTGAGTTTCATCTTCAGGATCTGGCCTTCTAAAGAGCAGTCAGGGTTGATCTCCTCTAGGACCAACCGGTTTGATCACCTTGCAGTCCAAGGGACTCGCAGGAGTCTTCTCCAGCACCATAGTTCAAAGGCCTCAATTCTTTGGCGCTCAGCGTCCCTTATGGTACACTTAAAAATATTTCCCTGTAAATTAGGTGCCAGTTACACCTTTTAATATAAAAGCTATAGTAGGAGCATTCCTTGTTAGATAACAATGCCTTTAAAGGAGAAATGTTTCTCACTTTGGAACTATTGTTTGGACTAATGGGTCAAACTTATCAACAGATCAAGATTAATTCCAATTCAATGCAGCACATCTCTTTAGCTCAGCCAGGCTTCTCTCCAACTCTTTTGTTCTACAAGCTCTATCATTCTGAGCCAGGACTGCTTAAGTGATAAAGGAAGACTCTTTAACCTTAGTTGAGACAAAAAGTTGAGTTCCTTCTCATCCTAGTAAAAAACAAAAAAACACCCTCAAAAAATTTCATTTGTTTGATACTTTACATGCATAAAACTTGACAGCTTGTACCTACCATAGAGTAAACCCAGGGCCATTCCCACGTCTGCCTGAGTGAAGCCCAGAGTAATTCTTTTGTGTTTCAGTTCCTTAGCAAATTGTTCCAGCTCCTCAGTAGTGGTTGTTTCCTAAGGGGGTGGGGGGGAGCAAAGGAAAAAGAAGCACTTTGATTGATAGGTGTCCATTTCAAGACAGCAATAAGACCTCCTTGATGCACATTCATTTTTCAGAAAAGAAGTTACAACTTCTATGGAGATTCTCAATCATCCAGCTCATGGTTGCCCAAAAAGTGGGTAGGTGTTTTTTTTTTTCTTTCTGCAAAAGGCAACTGGATTTCCTTTGAAAATATTTCACTTCTCATCCAAGAAGCTTCTTCCATTCCGTTTAGTTCAGTTCTGAAGAACTGACTAAGCTTCTTGGATGAGAAGCAAAACATTTTCAAAGAAAACAAAAAACAAAAACCAAGGTAGAGTCCAGTTGCTTTTTGGGAAAAGAAGCACCTTTGGGACAACAATTCCCTCATTTGGAATTGATTTGAGCATTTTTTAAAAACTTTTTGCTCCTATCACTTCATCTGGAATATATTTTTATTTATTATTAAAATTGTAAAAAAAGGGGGGGCAGGTTCAATTCACCTTCCCATAAAAGAAGCACACTGAGTGATTTTGATCCAATCACTATTTCTTACCTACTGCCAATCAGCTGTTGTTCCAGGGGGAAACCTGGAGGTAGAGGGGATGGACATCTAACCATTAAACAAATGTTTATATATTATATTATATAAATGTATATAAATCAGGGGTAAAATCCAGCAGGTTCTGACAGGTTCTGGAGAACCGGTAGCGGAAATTTTGAGCAGTTCGGAGAACCGGCAAATACCACCTCTGGCTGGTCCCAGAGTGGGGAGAGAATGGAGATTTTGCAGTATCCTTCCCCTGGAGTGGGGTGGGAATGGAGATTTTGCAGTATCCTTCCCCTGCCACACCCACCAAGCCACACCCACCAAGCCACGCACAGAAACGGTAGTAAAAAAAATTGGATTTACCACTGATGTGTGTGTGTGTGTGTGTGTGTGTGTGTGTGTGTGTATACACCCACACCCACACCCCACACACAATTACATCATATAGGTACATATACAGTCTCAACTTTTATACTAATCAGGATAAGACCACCAAACTCAAGACTTGAGGGCAGAGATTTTAATTCTCATAATCTGTTTAAGAGCCACTGTTGAAAGAGAATTGAAAAGATTCCATGCTAGACTATGGGAGTTTGTAAATCAGAAGAATCCAATGGATTCCTTTTAAATCACTAGAAATCAATCACATCAACAGATCTCAATGCTTCTTCATAGCCGAACCTCTCCCCTGCTGGAGTGATTTATTAAAATTTCTGGCTACAAGGCAGAGCTCAAGCTCACGGTTATCACTTTCTAATCTATTTCTTTCTCACTCTTTGGAGCAGATAATCTCCAGCAGACAATTCCAATTTCCAGCAGACAAATCTTCACACATTTATGATAAGAAAAGGAATCCAAGCAGCAGGCTTGGCTTTTCTTTGTGTTGCTTCTAAAAATAGTAACCAGCCAATCTTTCTAGCCCGGAGCCTACTTAATTGCTCATCAGAGCTAATCATATCTTCTCCAGAAGAAAACCTGCCAGCTTTTCTGTCCCCTCAAGCTCACATTCTTCTTAACTATCAAGTACAGGCTCCAAGAGATACTCAATAAGAAAGAACAATTGCAACCAGCCAGCCTTGTATATTGTGTGGGTCAGAAGAAGAACTGAGAAAATATCTGCAGACCCCCCCTCACATCCTGGACATAAAAGCGTCCCAACCTCTTCCCTTGGGGACGTTGCTAGAGGGCATTGCAGGCCAAAAGGATGCCATCCCTCTGCTGATCATCTAATCCTCACAATGCTGTCTAATGTCTATGTATATTAACCCATGAAGTATGGCTGTGGTATTATTATTATTATTTATCCTTCTGATTATCTTCTTTACTTTCCCTTTTTTTGGCAATAAAAAAAATAAGTATTGAGTGCTTCTGTACAAATTTCTTGTGTATCTAATTACACTTGGCCAAATAAAGTATTCCATTCCATTCCATTCCATTCCATTCCAATCCAATCCAATCCAATGTTTCTGCACAAATAGCACTATGGGTAGCATACACCTTGATTCTTCAATCAATCAGAATAGAGTTGGAAGGGACCTTGGAGGTCTTCGAATCCAACTCCTGGGCTCAATCAGGAGATCCTATAGTACCATTTCAGACAAGTGGCTGTCCAGTCTCTTCTTAAAAACCTCCAATGATGGAGCACTCACAACTTCTGAAGGCAAATTGTTCCACTGGTTAATTGTGCTCTGTTAGGAAGTTTCTCCTTAACTCCAGGTTGCTTCTCACCTTGATTAGTTTCCATCTCTTCTGGTGCTTTAGAAAATAAGTTGACCTCCCTCCTCTTCTTTATGGCAGCACCTCAAATACTGGAAGACTGCTATGATGTCACCCCTAGTCCTTTTTTTCTCTAGATTGGCCATATTCAATTCCTGCAACCATTCTTCATATGTTTTCGGGCCTTTAATCATCCTAGTTGCTCTTCTTTGCAACTTTCTCAGAGAATCTTCTCTGATTCTACATGGTCTGGGGACTGTGAAGGGGGTATGGCTCCTCCTAAGATCTACTCTGCTCCAATTATCTCTTGCAGCAATTAACTTACATTCTCCCGTAGGATGTTCCCCAGACCTGAGATGAGCTGGAGATTGTGAAAGTTGAAATCTCAAAACTTGGGAGGATTCAAAATTTGGAAAAGTTGAGCAAGTGCCATTCCTGGAAGCTTATACTCCTTAGAACTAAGCCACCATACATCATGCAGGGGGTGAAGAACAAGCCAAGGTCCAAGCCCAGATTCCTTCCATAGACTGGAGGCCAATCACAAGGTCTACCTTGCCCGAGGCAAGAGGATGAACTCTTTCAAGGCACCAACAAGAGAGCTTTGAAGTGACTTTAGCACTACAAGTGATCCTCTCCAAAATCCTTAGCCAGACATTACTGGGAGGGTTGGTGGTGGTGTTGGATGGCCCCGGGGAATGTCATTTCCAGGCAGGAGGGGTAGGAGAAGGAGGGGTCTTGATTGAAAGCCCCAAAGGCAGGATGGAGCAGACAGGATAAAGCATCTGCAAGGGTTGTAGGGCAGACATCAGATCCACAAGCGGTGCATTGTTTGTATATGTTGCCGCTCCAAAAAAACCGGTCAGGGAAAGCCATAGCAGATCCTCCTGATGTGGCAAACTTAATACACAGGCTGGGCGTGCTTAACCATATGGTTTTCACTGTGATGTGAAAACTAGATACTGTATAAACCATGGTGTATGGCTTAAGTGAACTAAGATGCTATTGTTTATTCAATGATCTTCTGGTGCAGACCTTCATTCATGGAAGCTCACTGCACATTTGGTCCCAACTCAACCTAACCTCTTCCCCACTTCTCTCTCTTCCTCCCTGTCTGCCCCCCCTCTCTTTCCCTCTCTCCCCCTTCCCCCTCTCTCTCCCCCTCCCCCCCTCTCTTTCTCTCTGTCCATCTCACTGTTCCCTCTCCCTCCTTCCATAACATAAGAGCGCTTGTCTTTTGAATTTACATTTACATTTTGAAAATTTGCATTGATCTTATCTTCATTATTGCCTGTGGGGTTGTTGATTGGGTGACCAAATCTTATCTCTAAGCATACTCTGGATATTTTAATATTTAGAAACATATAAAACACAGAAAACTGACAGCAGAAAAAGATCTAGTGGTCCATTGAATCTGGTTTGTTTTGTTTTGTTTTTTATTTTAATATTTTATTTTTATTCCCTTAATACAGGTATTCCTCGACTTACAACAGTTCGTTTCGTGAATGGCACTGAAAAATGTGACTTATAACCATGTTTCATATGACAACCGTTGTGGTATCCCCATATAGTCACGTGATGACTATGATGATCATGTTACCAACGTTAACAACTGCAGTGATTCACTTAAAAACTGTGGCAAGAAAGGTCACAAAATGGGACAAATTTGCTTAACAACTGTCTCACTTAGCAACAGAAATTTTGAGCCCCACTGTGGGGCTCATAATTGTGGTTATTAAGTTAGTAACAAGGTTGTTAAGCGAATCTGGCTTCCTCATTGACTTGGCTTCTCAGAAGGTCACAGAAGGGGATCATGGGACCCCGGGACACTGCAACCGTCATAAATATGAGTCAGTTGCCAAGCATCGGAATTTTAATCACGTGTCCATGGGGATGCTGCAACAGTCGTAAGTGTGAAAAACAGTCATAAGTCATTTTTTTCAGTGCCGTTGTAGCTTTGAACGGTCACTAAATGAACTGTTGTAAGTCGAGGACTACCTGTACAGTCTTCAAATATTTCAATAGTTTTTTAGTTTCCTCCCTTCCCTTCCCACTTGTCATTTCTCCTCTAGGCTAAACCCACCAACTGCCCTTCATCCTTCCTTCACAGATCATAATTTTCACGCTGGTGATTCTTTCTCATTACAAATTGTCCCAATGGTGAAATCCAAATTTTTTTACTACTGGTTCTGTGGGCATGGCTTGGTGGGCGTGGTAGGGGAAGGATACTGCAAAATCCCCATTCCCTCCCCACTCCTGGGGGAAGGATATTGCAAAATCTCCATTCCCTCCCCACTCTGGGGCCAGCCAGAGGTGGTATTCGCCGGTTCTCTGAACTGCTCAAAATTTCCACTACCGGTTCTCCAGAACCGGTCAGAACCTGCTGGATTTCACCCCTGAATTGTCCCCTTCCATTTAACGATCTGGAGCCAGACCAAGACCCAGAATTCTGAGTAAGGTCTGATTAATGCACAATAAAATAGAATTTATTTTTAAAAATTTAGAAACTATCTAATTTTAAAATGAAAGTATTCTCAACACAACCTTTTTGTAGTTGGATGACACTGTTGATCGACAGTTACCGGTAGCTTAATGTTAATCAACAGTCCCAATATTTTTCCTACAAGGTAAGTATTCCTCATCCCATCCCTATGTATTTGACCATTTTTTGGTACAGCAAATACAGCATTTCAAATTTATTTCTGCTAAACTTCACTTCTTAGTTCAGTTGTT